ATGTTGTGCATCTTTTTTTATGTAAAGTATATTTCTAGAAGTGTTGAAGAGGCATGTTTAAGGTGGTGTGTCAGGTTTTTATGAGTTCATTGTGATGGTAGAAACCACGTTGAGAAAGGGCCCGCAAAAAAAGGGAGTTGTTTGGAAATTAATACTAGCCATGGGGATTTTTCAAAAGAATTGACATATTCCAATTCCATGATCACCACTGCTGATCGTTCGGAATCCTTAACAAAAGAATCTCCAAATCACCTCGACGTTGTACAAGGAGCCAGTGAAGGGGAGGCCAGAATTGGAGTTATGAGCTACGAGCTCCAGTTAGGAGCTGAGCGGCGGCATTGTAGACCAACCGGAGGCGCCTCAGAGAAGATTGGCCGACTCCAAAATAAAGTGTATTCCAGTCATTCGGCTGAGATGCAACGAAGGCATGGATTACTGTTTTGAAAATAAAAACTGCATTTAACAACAGCACCAATTTAAAAATCACAGTCCAATTGAAAAGCCATATTTGAGAAAGTCAAAGTCAACCGGATGAGATACGACATACATACGGCACATACACAGAAATACAAATACACATAAAAATAACAAATGGGTATGCTCGCTTTTACTCTTCAACGTCTTTCACTTTAGAACGGAGGAACAGCATTATCAATAATCTGTTCCCTGTGCCATGATGGCCGACCGACATTTCTATTGGCCACCATTAGGAGCCCCCCTCCCCCGCCCCCCCTTCCTCAACCTACGAGGTGCGGGACCCGAGGGCAGGAGGAGAAGATATCGAGGAGAGGTGAGGAAGTGTGCCGATGCTTTTCTTTGTTCATCGACACCCACCACCTGGCACGAAGTTTGGCGCTGAGGCCAATTCTTTTCTTGTTGTGCAACCTTTGTCTATTTTTCTTGACAGCTGAACAGTACCACACATGAATAGCATGCTGGAGATTTTGTTGGTTTTTTTTTTGTATATTGTTTTGGTAACCTTATTTATTTCTTGTTTATTTGTTTATTTGTGAATTTTTATTATTTCTTTTTTTTTTTTTTTTGTCTTTTCTTAGTTTCGGGGGACAAAGCTGGACACGCCCACTTTGATTTTGGGCAAGTTCTGTCTTGATGACATTCATTGTGACATGATAAGATCTGAGGGGGGTTTTAGTGGGTGGCGGTCCGAAGAAGTCGGATCTGCCGAGTACATCCTTGAGATTTTTATTCCGACGGTGCGCCAAGATCATTCTGTATCGTTGAAAGTCGGAATACATTGCCTGGAAAGGGCAGCGTTTGTTTGACGGTGTGCTGCAGTTGGCAGAGTGGCTTGGAAAAATGGAGGAACGAGTGGTCTAAGTATTTGTTCTGAAGTGTACGTGGGGTTGGGCTTCGAAGCAGAGAAGGCGGTGGCGCTACGTCCAAAGGCGAGCATGAGAGAGAGAGAAACCTGTCGCTCGGCGCTGACCATTAGCGCTTGAGAATTACCTGACGAAGCGGGGTAGGGAGACAGAAAGGGATGCCCGAGGGCGAGGCGAGGCGGTGGCGGCGCCATTCGGAGCGAGAGAGCCCAAGGTGCTCTGTTTGATTGCCCGCAGGTGTCAACTTTGCTCAGGAAGCGGGAGCAATATCAGTCGGTCTTCAAGACAATGTCTGCGCGGCTTGCTAATTATCCGGCTACTTGTGTTGCCGCATGCGGAACTGACGAATCTCAATAAATGCACCTTTGACTGACTGAAAATACAATCGTGGCTCTTTTAAGATTTGAATTTGAGTAGCCCTGCTTCCACATCCTTGATCTAGTCCATGGATAGATCCACGTCTCTCCACGGCTGCAGTCCAAAGTCCTTGTCGCCGCTTTTCATCTTCCGTACCCGAGACGGGAACAATCAGATTACGGCGAAGAGGCTTCTTAAGGGGGGAGACGTTCGGGGGTTTTGTTGCCCCTTTTTTTGTGTGACGGGAGCGTTAGCGCTAAAGTGCGGCCGAACGCTCAGCCGGCAGAATCGGGTCATTAGAGAGGCTGCGGAGCGGGGCGGGTAAAGCACGCCTCAGGCGGTGTTTACATTACGAGAATACTGATTGCTCGACGCCCCGCCGCAGGAGCGAAAGCTCGCCTTCCACGCGGCGTTGCGGTTCAATGCGGCGTGGCAATTGCAGCCTGTACAAAGCGAAAATGTATCTGGAAACCATCTTGAAAGTAGATATGAAAAATGGCTTCCCGGTAAAGTGTGATACGATTGCAATACTGTTAGTATCAGGGTTTCAAATTTCAGTGATAGTGATTATTGATTTTAACGTCACTGGGAGGAGGAGTTGTGGTCTTTTTGCATGCCGCAGCGGCTGACAATGTAAGCGTATGTATGATGCTGCAGCCGCCCCGCCCCCCAATTCATGCAATTTTTAAACAATTTATATTTGTATTCCAACATTTGAGAACCGATTGCTATATTTCCGTCCAATATTTTTTGTGATTCAAGTGCAGTACTCTAACATTTTTGTAGACTAGCCCTATAAATTGTACTTTTTGGGGGGGGGGGTCGGGGGGGGTGATATTTTTTCAACCGTGTAGTCATTTGTTCATTTTTTTTAATCTGATATTTTTGTCAAAAAAATGATTAATTTAAACATTGTTATATATCTGTCCAGTATCTTTTTTTGGTAGACTTTTCATGGAATGTTTTTAGATTTTTCATCCAATATTTTTGTGTGTGTTTTTTTTTAAATAGTTTTCCTCCAACTTTTTTTGTCATCAACTGTGTTTTTTTTCTTCGAATAATGAATGACTTTATCTCACGACTGACGTGTCGTGCGTCCAATGACTGCATCAACAGAGACTGAAAAGTCCACCAATGACTGCGCAGGGAAAACATCAGAGGCAGGACTTAAACAGAAACGCAGGCCACAGTACAGCAGAAGAGCACAGATGACATTGAAGAGCATCTCATTTGACTTTTTTTTAGGGGTGGGTGGAGGGGATTGGACACATCCTCAAAAAAAGAGGACATGCGGTCACGAAGGTGTTTCCGGCTGCGGGCTCTTTCGCGCCTCCCCAATCTGACATTTGTCAAGCACAATTCAAAAGGAGACCATTTGATCAATTATTGATGAAAGTCACTCGCCGCGCGTGTCGTCGAACATCGTCGCTTGAACGCCTTTAGGCTCGCTCTCTCGAGTGAACAGGTGTTACATCACCCTTGAATCATGCCTAGCAGAACCACAAAGATTGAAGAAAAAAAAAGGCAAACAAAATCCAAAGAACGTGGAAAGCTTTTTTGGCGTTTCCACTGAAGCTCTTTTGGGGTGATCAAACGAAGCCCCCCCCCCTCCCCCCAACAGTGGTTCGAATGAAGACCTGAACATGAAAGAATACAGTCCACCTCACACACGCACATGCACGCACACACCTTTCAATGTTCCTTTCTTCACATGGGTGAAGACTGACTACCTCTGGATTGACAAATGTCCTCAAATGTCACACCACGCTTGCTGTTTCATAAATGTTTGGATGCATTTTTTTTCCCAAACAATCTTGCTGTGTTTATGTGGAGTCAGCAAATAGAATAAAGTTCAATGTTAAACACTTGAAAAGTACATTGCACTCACTGTCAAATCAATTGTGGCCAGTGATGGCAGCAACGCGTTACACAGTAACTTTACAAAGTGCACATTTTCAAGTCATCTGACTTTAGTCTCTCTTCTAATATAATTCGACGTTACTTTGCAGAACATATCTGCTCCGGCAAGCAGGCATCATCCGTATTTGAGAGAGAAATGCATTTGCTCTCCTACCTTATCTTATGCTGTCATGCCCTCCAAGTCTTTCCACTCCAAGCATTCACAGCAGTTGTGCTTTAATGCCAACTCATTCCAAGTTGCACTTGCTGTTTTGTCAGAGTGCCCATTGTCAATCCTTGCCTTGTATGAAGCAGCAATAGTCAAGTTTTTTTCCCCTTCCATCCAAGGAGGTGACTAACTTCTTTCCAAACATTTGGATCCTGCTTCTTCCTTCCACCCAGCTGGACAACTTCTTCTTCGTTGGTGTCTTTTTGGTCATTTAACCAATGTAACTCGAGCTGTGTTATCGGCACGTGTGCACCACGCTGCCCCTTGGAGCACAAGGGTGTGCATAGACAAACAACCATTTGCACTCAGAATCACACCTCAACAATTTGGAGTGCCCAATCAACCTGCCATGAGTGTTTTTGAAATGTGGGAGGAAACCGGAGTACCCGGAGAAAACCCACGCAGGCACGGGGAGAACATGCAAATTCGACACAGGAAGGCCACAGCCAGAATCGAACCCGGCACCTCTGCACTGTGAGTAATCGTTTAATTAATTTATGTTGATACTGTATCATGGGTGGAAACAGTACTCAACAATAATGATATTTAGTCCCACCCTTAGTTCAAACTGTATTTATCACATAAATATCAATACTGTATCATAAATGAAAATATACTGACATGTTACGTTATGGTTATTTTATCCCACCCCTCATTAAAATGGATTGATAAGTGACACTTGTACAAAAGATGCAGCTTGGCGCAGTTTGAAACGGGAATGTTTGCGCCGTTGTGGGCGTGAACAAAGCTGAGTCGCTTCACATCCAATCAAAGCGGCTTCTCTCATTCCCTTAAAAATTGGTGCACGAGAAGCGCGCTCTCCTTGATATGGCGGAAGCACAAACCGATTTGCTGGAGTCCATGAAGGAGGTCGAAGCACGCTAAGTATGTTTCGAAGGAACTGAATTCAGACCTTTACGGGTGGATAATGTGAAGCCAGGGTGATTACAAATCACAACTGTGAAATGGGCACTTGGAGATTTCACATTCACAAAAAACGTGTTGCACTCCATGTGCCAATACTTCGACCTGTTGTCCAACTGGTGTAAAGTTTAGTTTACCAAATAGTCAGGTGCCCCCACGATCCACCAGAAGGCCCAGTTTTTACGCTCAAAATGCTATGGATGAAAACATCATCAGAAATTGAAACGATATGTCAAAATTTGGATTCTGTCGACTCAATTAAATATTCCCTTTATTTACCCGACTTGTGAAGACAAGAGAGTTCCAGCATCAGACTGGCACCCGTCAGCTGGACGTGTCTGCCCTCCAGTCGGCTGACTGAGCCTTCCCCGCTAACACAACATGACGACAACCGAGGCAACGTTCACACCAGCCCACCAAGTCATCAATAATAAGACAAGGTGAGTAGGCAAAGAGAGAGGACGGAAGGCGGGGGTGTATGGGGACGGGGGGGGGGAGTCCAGATACAGATCCGTGATGTGACATGTGCTCTGCATAAGAGTCCTGCCAGCGAAGGTTTGGAGGGTGCGGCCCTTTCCTCTTGAGTTTCTCCCCGCGACATCAAAGAGACGTGGCGTGCGGGGGAGGCGACTCAGCGTCACGGTCACACGGATGGGACATCCATCCGCTGGTTGAGTCAGTCCTCTTCTTCCACGTAAGTGGAAGGAAACCAGCCCACCTGGAAACAAGAGCCCACACACAACGCATGCACGGGTTATAATAGAAACAGAGCAAGATCGGTAGCAGATAATATCATTAAAAAAAATAAAATTAAAAAAAAAAACAATTTGTAGGCACACATTGCAGCATATGTTTTTTTTTGGTTATTAATTTTTCAATTAATTTATTTGTATGTTTAAAAAAATTTGTGAGGAAATATTTGGGAGAACACGAAAACAGACCATTGTACCACGAAAGTACGTGTATGGCATTTCTTTTAGCGCCCGAAGGAAAACGTTCATTCAAGACATTTTAAGGATTTGCAGACACCCTGTAAGTAAGCATACAAAATCAAACTATGTTCAGACTGCAGGTCTCATTGCTCAATTCAGATTTTGCTGTTTATTAATTATCTAATCAATAAATCAGATACAGGTCCCGTAAGTGCAATAAAAACACAATCGGAATCGGGTAGCCGAAGTCAGATTGCGGCGCACCTTTCCGGCCACCTCCCCCTTCCACCAGCCACTGGCCATCTTTGAGTAGATATTGACCATGTCCCCCCGCAGCAGAGGCAGCTCCCACGGGTCCCTGGAGCTGAAGTCGTAGCGAGCCACGGCCACGGCCACCACCCTGGGAGAAAACACTGGTGGACCACGAAGGGGCGGATGTCATCGGGGGAACTTAAACATGCGATCATTTTGTGAGCGAAAATGTGATTGAAAAAAAAAACATGCAGGGAAGGTCGCATCCAAGGATTTCTTCCGAGCGGGATGTAACCGCGTTTCAGCGTCTGTACTGGAGCGCTACTTGTTGACAATAAAAGCAATATTGAACTTTACAACATGCCAAACGGACTGCACACAGATTGTTGAGTAGGTGCCGATGTTTTGGTTAGCAACAAAGTTCAAAGAGTTGAAGTGATGTCGGAGCCGAGCGGATCGATACGTTGAAACAGATATGAGAACGTCTCAATATCGCTAGTTTGTCCATTCGTAGTTAAAGCTCACCCGTAGTGAAGCGCATGTATCGATTATACTCTATCATGAACAGAAACGATACATCAGAAGATTGAGATTTTTTTTTTTTCCAAATTTGATGCTAACTGTATGTTTAGCTCGTGTATCAAACGGGGGAAATTATATATCACAAACTCTAATTTGTCAAGAGGCTATTCATGCGCCTCAGGGGGTGCGGTTTTAGCTTGCAATAAAATTGAAAGGGGCTGAGCAGATTTTTTTTTTTTTTTTTTGCTGTGTGATAAAAACATACAGTACTTTTTCAACTCAAATTAATTTTATTACATTTTTATTATTATTCTTATTTTTGATCTGGGTATATTTTGAACACCAACAGACTACCAACAATAGTTCCTCGCTATGTCCCTTTTTTTTTCTTTTTAAGCCAAATCCTGGCTGCTGAATGTCAACACTTTTTTTGCATTATTTATTCGTGGAGTGGCAAAAAAAAAAAAAAAAGTCATGCGGCAAGACTGGAGAGCAGAGAAAGGCCATGTAGCTGTACCTGACCAGAAAGGAGAGGATGAGGGAGGAACAAAGCTGCAACCACCGGGAGCAACTACACACACAAACACAGCCCAAAAAGACAGAGTGAGAGAGAAAGAGAGAGAGCAGCAGAGGCAGAGGGTTACAGGAGTGCACAGAGAAGGAGAGAGAGAGAGAGAGAGAGAGAGAGAGAGAAAAGTTGGCAAAGTCAAAGAACAAGCAAAGGAAGCAATGTTGAGTGGGAGAGAAGAATGAGTGGAAGTCTGCACCAAGGGGACAGACCAATATATGGGCAAGGGGTTTAATAACGTGACGTTTTTTTATAATTTTACAGATGGGTTTTGTGTAGATCTGTTTTTTTTTTTTTTTTTAATCAATTGGCCTCCAGGGCAGTTGCGCTTGTGACCAAGTAAACATTTGGCAGAGGCATCAATTGAGGTGAGACTTTGAAATTGGTCCAGTCAGATTCTGGTGTTCTGAATAGATTTTTTTTTTGTTTTATTGTTGTATTTTCATTGGCCTATAGAGAAGTTGTCTTTGTGCCCTCTTAATTCTGCCTAGCAACAACTAGGCCGGCAAATGACTGCGGACGGCTTCTACGGAGGTGAGGCTTTGAGATTTGGATTTTTATTGTTACTTATAGATTCGTGCGTTTGTTTTCCCCCACTGGCCTATGGGCAGTTACACTTGAGCTTTCTCAACTCAGCCAGCAGCAAGTAGCCGAGCAAATATTTGGGAGGAGGAGCCTATTAACCCTTTCACGCACCCTGTAACCTGATAACATGATAAGCTGTCCACTGTAGTACAGATTAAAGATTCGCATCTCTTTATACTTGTACAAATACATTTTGTTATGATGTACAGAGTTGTACGTGTTTTTCATTGACCGATGAGGGCACTTACATTCGTGCCCTCTGAACTCTGCCAAGCAACAAGTGGCCAGGCAAATTTCTCAAGGTGATGCCTTTATTTGTACACATGCATTTCATCAAATAAATGCCTGTCTGGCAGAGCAGCAGCAGCATCTTCTTTTTTTTTTTTGTCCATAAGCACTTCTTTTGATTGTGTTTATTTATTTTTATTTCAGTTTTTTGTTGTTGTTTTTTTTTGGCATGGCATCTGTCTCTCCACGGAAGCCGGTGCCCACACAATCTCGCTCTAAGTCTACGGGGGCGGATGACTTAAGGCAATAATAATCTATCCCAGAATGCACCGAGGAAGCAGCGCCTCTGTAAAGGCGTCTTGTCGCTGAATGGCGCCGCTGCTTTGAAGCCGCGTGAGGATGTGCAGACACACACACACACACGCACGCGCACACACAAAAAGGCTAACGTTAGCTTTGTTCTAGCGATGGTGCTTGTTTACGTATTTTCACTCCAGCTCCCTCCTGCGCTTTTTATTTGCAAACTTCTTCCCCCGGAAATATTCCCGCCACGACACCCGGGGTTTCCCTCAGGTTTGTGTCACTCACTCTTCTTCTTTCCCTCTTCTTCTTCTACTCGGCTGGCTGCGCGAGTGACATGTCATGTCCTGTCAGGAAAATTGTGCATGCGTGTCAGAGGCGAGCAGCGTGCTATCTGGCATGGCGGTCATGAATGGTGGGTCTCCCGTTGCCCGCCTGGGGCGGCGACCTCGAACTGGGAGCACTCTGGCGATGCCTGGTGAGCTGCCAGGATGCCTCTCCATTCATTTCACTTTTATTATTGGTCGATTTCTTTTTCTACTATTTCAGAAAACATCATGATTGGGGAAAAAAGAAGAACTTTTCCCATCCTTTGGGGTTGTTTTTTTTCTTCTTCTAGTTTGCACTGAACCCAGAGTAATATCGCTATCCAGATATCACAGGCAAGAATATGGAGATATGAAATTCCGTCCATATCGCACAGCCCTACTACACGCTGTTGTCACCTAACCGCATTAGCTACTTGCCTACAGTGCCAACCTTTAAGGATCTATGCAGATGCAACAACTGGAGGTTCATTAAAGTCAGTCACATTCCATTTCAGCCATCTGTCTGGTTTCTGACCATATCATCCCTTGTCTGTCTAACCGCCTCATTAAAGTGACTTCTTGCCTACCTGCCGTCTCCTCACTCCTTCCTTCGAGAATGTGCTTGTTATCAAAGACACCGCGTTGACATACCCCTGATGGCTTTTCACGGGCAAAATGAATTTCTCCACAAAAGCCCACAAGACAGTGCCATCAAATGAATTCAGATTTTTTTTTTCCCCCCCAGCATCCGTATTTGCTCTAAGATGGGAGCATCTACAGCTGTCAGACGCAAGAGTCTCTGCGGCGAAGTCTTTTTGCGAGGGTGCACTCACCGCTGCCAGTCTTGCTAATGGCCCAAGATGAGCTTCCGTCATAGCATTCCCGGTAAGGGACACGAAGATTGGTGTCGAGGCTGCTGAAGCCTTCTTTTAAGGAGTGCTGCTTGTAGTACTTCACCAGGTCCTGCAAGGAAACCAAAACGCATGTCACCGAATGACATGTTAACCCTTTCATTCACCCTGTAACCTGATAAGACGATAAGCTACCCACTGTCGTAACCGCTGTCCCTGAAAGGGTTAATCAGGTAATTTTCGCAAACTACCTAATCCTCTACTATTGTACTACTTAGTGTGCCTTACCTTCCTTCAGTACCTTCATACCTGCCAATTTACTGTTCCTGTCGAGCTACCTTCCAACTGTACCTACCAACATCCATGTACCGTAAATATCAACCAACCTGCTAACATGCTACTATAACTAACTACTGGAACTACCTTCCTATGATACTTACCTAACAACACATACTGGAAAAAAAAAAAAAACGGTGTGTCGCATTAGAGAGATGTGCCGTCTACTTTAAAAATGTATCTGGATGCAAATATATTCAACAAAAGAGTTTTTTCAGTGTACTTTACTTACCAAGTGTACCTAGCTAGCAAGAGGAGCTAGTGTACACCCCCCCAATACGCCTACTGTCACTTTGCAGCAACAGAAAATGCTCTACTTACCACCTACCAACTCACGACTCCCTATTTTTCACTGTACTTCGTTTATTTTATTGATTTATTCATCTAGTTAGCATGTTTTAATGATGGTGTTATTCTGCGGTGATTGGCAACAAAACCCTCTGAACGGAACGACATCAAATAGACAGGATTCCACTCAAGTTTCACGCTTTGTGGAGCACCTCGGAGCCTTACCAGCAGCGTTTTGAAGAGTCGACTCTCTGCGATGTAAAAGCAGCCGTCCTTGGTCAGAATCTTAATGTGCTTGACTCTGTCGTTGAACCTGCGCGAGGATGAATAAGACATGGGCTGCTAATCAACGAGACACGCTTCCAAACGTCAGGCCCGGCCTCCCGTGTTGAAAGTCACGAAGGTCTTGCGAGAGCACACTCAAGACCTCTTTAGAGCATTCCACATTCACTCACATCAAATGAGACGAATGGCTAATGGCAGAATGTTGTCACGTTTGTTTTAACATGCGGTCAGATTTAACCTTCCTGTTACTTTGCGCATCAAACTAACCAGTTATCAAGCTTACAAATACAGGTACATTGGTGCGCCGGGATACAAGTGACCTGACTTAGAAGTATTTGAAGATTTTTTTTTTTTACTTTAGCTTGTGCACAAAACGTCGAGATATGATTTGAGACATGAGCGTCGAGTGGTGGCAGTGAGCTCAACTTGCGTCGCGTCACAACAAGCAGCAGTTTCGCGGAGCGTGAATGGCTGTCAAACTAAACATCAAATAAAGAGAATTACACATTATTTGAAGATAAATGATGGTTGACACAAAATATACTGTTGTAATCTTCAGGCATACGAACGATCATTATCCTCTGTTAAGCATGACTAACATTACAGTGGTTTATTGAAAAATGTTTTATCGCGCCCGCAGTTGACCAAGTGGCACATACGTCCGAGAGAATAATAGCATTTGAATTGAATCAAAGAAAAATGTGACAAAAATGCTTGAAATTCTTCTTCAAAGCCTGAACGTCACTGAGTCACGACTGCTTGGTCAGGTTTCTTAAAAGGTTGCAGGTAGTTGCAAATGATCTGTCGGAAAAGTCACTTCATGGAGCAAAAGTGTGGCCCAGTTGGCAAAACTGCAGATGCGAGTCGTGGTGCTTACTTGTTACCTCTCTTGTACAAGCGCCCACGTGTGCAGATCAAATAAAAGCACAACTTTCACAATAAAAGGATCGCTTTCAAGCTTTCGCTAAGCTAGCTGCTGAGCTGATCATTTAAATGAGGTGTGTTGGAGGAGGGAGACATCTAAGACAGCTGTAGTTTTACATCTTTCTCAGACTCTAGTCGTCACACGAGGCAAATTCACAGATTGAGTTTCGACTTGGGTCGCACTGCAGAGACGCTTGTACTTCTTGCACTTGATCCCTTTTGCTCAAATTAAACACAAGCTAAAGTGCGCGGCCGGGCACTGAGTTTCTCTCCCTTTCGAGTTTATTTCCTCGCAATCACATACAGCAGACACATATAGAGGCCGTACACAAGGTCTTCCGCCGAACGCGGCAGCGGCTGTCGCATTGGCTGCGTGGGCTGCAAAGCTACAATCAAATGCTCGGAACAGAGAGTACAAAAACAACCGTGGGCGGTGAGCCACATGCTACTTCACCTACTCTGATGGCCTCAAACAGACATATCATGCTTCTCTGGTCAATTTTCGTAACAGGTTAAACGCGGGTCTCAGCATTACTTCCCCGGGCAATAGCAAACTTGTATCAAAGCAAGACCTGTTCAGAACGTAGAAAAAAAATAAGTCAATCAAATGTAACAAATCAAACCCTGCACCTCTGCACTGTGAGGCCGACATGCTAACCAGTCAATCACGGGGCCACCCGACACTAAACTATCCAACACTAAACGATCGAGGAAGTTAAATCAAGAACAGAGTTTTTGAGTGAACCATGGGTCCACCCTAGAAGTCCAGTCCAAGACAGATCTTGGACGTTCTATCAGGAGCAGCAAACCGTGATCCATCAACAAAGTTCCATCTGCTGTGGATCTATCGAAAACTGAACTATCCTGGCAAATGCAGAGCTTTTTCTCAAAAATGTATCATTCCACGATCTGAACCCGCTTTAGCCTCACGAGTGTCGTAGCCGCGCTGGCGCCTCTGCCGGCGGACTTCGAGCGAAAGACAGACTACACCCTGAACTGGTCTCCAGCCAGTCTTGGAACGTACATAGACGAACAACCATCCGCACTGACTTGATCCGACGCTGCCCGCACACAAGTCATGCGAGTGTACCGCTACACCGCAGATGTCAAACTCAAGGCCCGGGGGCCAGATCCGGCCCGCCACATCATTTTATGTGGCCCCCTGAAAGAAAATCATGTGTGTCAACTTGCATGATCCTTGCGAAAAAAATGCACTGAAATGTCAAATGTGATTAATGTGTAATAAATGACGTTGAGATTTTGCAATAATTTTGTTACCCATACAAGTAATAGGTGCGATTAAACATTTTTTTGTGGTTTCACTGTCATAACGGCCCTTTGAAGGAAGACGTAACTCAAAAATGAGTTTGACACCCCTGCGCTACACCATTAGTGACTCAAATACAGATCCATCTACGGAATCCTACAAAACCATTCCTGGAAGTCCAATTGAAAAGGGAATCCTTTCCACAATGACGACTTACTTTATACTAATGGCATACTCTGTGCATTCTTTACTCCGATGCCGAACCAGATAGGTGCTGTTCCCTCTGTCCTGAAGCTCCTCCTCGGCCTGGCACCTCTCCATCGGCCCCGCAAACCTGCAAAAGCACCGCCAAGTCATTGTGAATGTGAACAACTGCACGTAATTGAGAATTCACGTGTTATTACCAGAGCTGTGCGGAGTAATCGACAGGCTTGGGTAGCTGGCACGTCGCAGAAGAAGAAAAGAAACACGACGGTTATTATTCGATTCATTGCGCTTGAAAGGCATGGAGGTCAGAGGCTCGCTAATGTGATCGTGGAGGCACAGCAGGGGTTGGGGGGGGGGCTCAAATCAGACCTCAACAGGAGCGCAGGCATGTAATGGAAAAGCACATCTCTTCGCCGCGGACGTCAATAGTGGCCATTACTTGGCTAAATGCATCTCGCTCACGCTTAATGCGGCGTATTGATCGGCGAGAAAATATGCACACTTACGCAGGGGCAAGGCTTCACAGCGTCGCTGGGAAAGAAGCCAATCCTGCCGCTCGCCGGGATTCTGCCCTGTGAATAGGACGGGACATTAAATCGCATGAAATGTGTCCCGCGCACTCCCCGTCCAATCACACCCCTTCCTCACCTTTCCCTTCCCTCCCACACCGCCGCGGATAAATCCTCGGCAATTAGTGCGCAACAAGCGGCACGTCTAATTTGCAGCCCGCGCCCGGTTAATTACGCTCGCGACTCTGCCGGCAGTTTGATTTGTAGCGCGTCACAACAAGGGGCTCGTTTAGGCCCCCGAAATAATGGGAGACTCGTTTGCACCAGTGAATACGCAAGCAGCGCGGAGACCAAACAAACTGTACTTTCACAGACACTCTTGTTTATCTCTATTTAGCGGAGGAATTGGATGCAAAGGTATTTATTTGATTGCCTGCTTGCAGGATGATACAAGAAAAAAAAATGATACAACCGATTGCCATGAACCGTTGTTAGAGTCACGAAAATTGTATGGAGCATATTAGGCAAGAAAAAGGAAGCGTAACTGCCTTGCGTTTGGCTAGCGAACGTTATCGCAAGTGCTATGATTTTGGGCACATGTTGCACTTTCCCAAAGAGAGGATTAAAGCCACAGGTGTCAAACTCAAGGCCTGGGGCCCAGATCTGGCCGACTATATCATTTCATGTGGCCCGCACAAACTCAAGGCCCGGGGCCAGATCTGGCCCACTATATTATTTCATGTGGCCCGCAAAGCAGCTCAAACATGTCAAATTCCATGATCCTTTCTAAAAATGTCTGCCAAAATTTTAAATGCTCATATGAAATAAATAAGAGGGATATTCCAAACCTTTTCTTGTGACCAAACCCCTCATGATAGAAACTTAAGCAATAGTTAAATCAACGGTTATTCTTGACTTCTTTATATGGTTTCAGTCATAACCCACCCTCCCCATTCCCCCAAGTGAAACGGTAACTAAAATGTGGCTGGCAAGGGTTCCATTCCAGGCTCCGACCGTCCTCGTGGAGTTTGCATGTTCTCGATTATGTCCGCGCAAGTTATTTTGCGGACCCCCAAACTCCAGCTCACAGCCCCCAAGTTTTAAAACCACCACATACTTCAACTGCTCACTAAGCTGAAGTCTCGCTGTCGTGACAATGGTTTCAACGCTGACTTTTTCGACGTTTCGGACCGTCTGACTTTCAGCTTCGAGTGTATGATATGCCAGATATCCTTGGCAGAGTTCTGCCTTCCAAAGTGACGCTCCAGTCCATCTTGTGAACTTCATTGCGACAGACTGAGTTCATTTGTAAACGTTTAAGTCAACAAAGCGGCCGTCGTTAGCGCTAATTGAGAAAACGGAGTCCCCACCGACTCCCGTTTTACGTGTTTTTTTTTTGTTTTTTTTTGTTCATCGACTCATCTCCAATTGTCCATCGCACTTTTTTGGGCGAGAGCGTGGAAAAAAAAAAGCCTGGCGGTTTAACTCGATTAGACTCTCTGTGATTCATTCTACGCAATAACATTTCATCCAAGCTCTTTTGGTTCTATTTGTTATGCCCTGGATAAGCGCGTGCTAAAAAGATTAAACGCATTACTCGAGCAGCATAAACAGGAGGCACCCGCCGAAGGATCAAATGAAATCACTGTGATTGATTGTATTGCTGTGCCAGCGGGACGGAGATAATTGCCTTCTGGGTAACGGCGGAGGGTGGATGTGTGAAGGCGGATCGAGATGGGGAGATGGGGGGGCGGAGGGGGGTCGGGTAGGTAATTCTATCCTGTGGCGCCGCCGGGGACGCCCGAGATTAAGGGTACCCTGTGGAGCTTTAATTGTCATCACAAGTGCTTCTGTTTGGAAGCCAAATCCCTCGCAGTAACCTTTGAATTTAGAAGACAACATCAATGTCTGTTTTTCTGCTCGATGTTCTTGTTTTGACAATGGTGTCAAGAGGGAACTCCCAACTCCAAATGGTACAGTCTTGTCCTACGATGTTCTTGTTTTGACAATGGTGTCAAGAGGGAAATGAACTCCCAACCCCAAATGGTACAGTCTTGTCCTCCAATGGCAAAGGTTGGTCAAGTCTGGCCGCGGACCACGTTGGGCCAACATTTTACATTAGGAAAAGTACTGCATTATTTCTGGCATTAATTAACTGGTGCTCGTAAGAGGGAGCACATAACCCCAATTGTGGCCTCGCTTCACCGGCTCTCTGTACATTTGAGAGTTCATTCAAAGGTACTTTTATTTGTTTTGAAATCTTGAAATGGTCTCGCTCCACCTTACCTCCCGACGCGCCTGCCCGCGGTGCCTCAGGTCTGCGGACCAGCCGCTACTGGAGTGACTGAGGACTAGGCGGAGCCTCAGTGGGGATCAAGCCTTGTCTGTTTCCGGTACTTCCCTTTGGAATGACCTTCCATTAAGTATTAATCAAGCACCCCACCCCCTGTCCATTTTTAAAACGTGTCTTACGAAACATTTTTATCCTTCGACTTTTGACCCAACATGACACTTGAGATTGTACGATTGTTTTAAGTCTGCAGTAAAAGCTGCCATTTTATAAGAAGGAAAACCTCACAAGAAAAAATGATGACGACTGACAGAACCCTTTCTACGATTTTATAAGAAGGAAAACCTCACAAGAAAAAACATATCAGAAGAAAATGCTTTTTTTTTTGTTTTTTTCATACCTAATGGACATCCAACTCACAGTTCACACATTCACAGATTTTTTTCCCCCAATTAGAAAAAATATTTTTCATATTTTGAGGAGGTTGGGTTTTATTTATTTCCCCCCGCCGCCACCTGCCGTCAACCTATTGCCTCAGTGGCATTACAGTGCACCGACGATTGAAAACTGTGATCCGGATATATTTTTTCATTGGAGGTCTGCCACAACACGGACAAACATGGCGGATGAGGCTTTAATGCCATCGCCAACAGCCAGATGAATCAGTGGCCTTTCAAAAAAAAAAAAAAAAACAGAAAAGGTCAAACGATATCATTGGCCTCACTAAGAAGAAGGTGCCGCCCCACCATGAAAAACAGGCCGGAAAAAAGGCCCGCGTGTTGTTGTCCCGCGAAAGCCTCTAAATTCATCAACTCGCCGCTGACATCATACAATGCCGCTCTATGATTTCATCTGACCAAGCAAAGAGGGAGTCACATGCCCCGTGTGCCATAAACGCTTTACGTCATCGTTCAAGTGACAGATGGGAGTGCAGACTTCCACCAAGGCGTCAGAATTATGCGATTTTTTTATGACCTCGTATGTACTTATATCTTGACGAGGTTTCATTGAAAACACTTTGCTCGTTTTTGATTCATGCCGATAAAAACAACAAAGGATGGTAAAATAATATAAAAGAATGAAAGTGATTTCAATCAAGAAAAATGTCATGGACATCAGCAAAGAAGTTTTTGATCTGCGCCAATAAAAGCAATAAAGAAATGACGGTGAAAACTTTTGGAGTCATAATTAAAGCCCCCTGAAAGAGCAAGTTAGTAAAAAGAAATAAAGCGAAATTGAATGATTAATCTTTCATATGTTCATGAAGAAATCCACAACACGGACAAACATGGCGGATGAGGCTTTAATGCCATCGCCAACAGCCAGGATGAATCAGTGGCCTTTCAAAAAAAAAAAAAAAACAGAAAAGGTCAAACGATATCATTGGCCTCACTAAGAAGAAGCTGCCGCCCCCACCATGAAAAAAAGGCCAGCATGTTGTTGTCCCGCGAAAGCCTCTAAATTCATCAACTCGCCGCTGACATCATACAATGCCGCTCTATGATTTCATCTGACCAAGCAAAGAGGGAGTCACATGACCCGTGTGTCACGCGTTACCATAAACGCTTTACGTCATCGTTCAAGTGACAGATGGGAGTGCAGACTTCCACCAAGGCGTAAGAATTATGTGATTTTTTATGACCTCGTAAGTACTTATATCTTGACGAGGTTTCATTGAAAATCATTTGTACAACTCTATACATCATAACAAAATGTATTTGTTGAAAGGGTTAACATACAGTACATACATACAAACAAAAGTTGGCATTCTAGAAGAATATGATTTTAGGAATTTTCAAGCGTGAAAATGGGTATTTGAGATGGGGGGGAAGCTGAGGCTGAGGTGTAGCCCACCCCAAGAATATGATTTTAGGAATTTTCAAGCGTGAAAATTGATATTTCAGATGGGGGGGAAGCTGAGGCTGAGGTGTAGCCAAACTTTTGGAGTCATAATTAAAGCCCCCTGAAAGAGCGAGTTAGTAATAAGAAATAAAGCGAAATCGAATGATTAATCTTTCATATGTTCATGAAGAAAGGAAGGCAAACTAGCAAAAGGTGATGTAGTCATGAACTCTCAAAGTAATTTCAGTCAAAGATTTGGTGAAACTCATTTTGCTTGTGTTGGATTGATGCGGATAAAAACAATACAGAAATGAAGGCTGCGGTAAAGAATAGTAATCATACGAATTAAAGCCCACGCCGAGGCAATTTAGTAAAAACAGAACAGATTTTCAATAGCGATGCGGTGTCCTCCTTTTCACATTCGCCAGCATTTTTTTTTTCTCCTCGGTTATTGTGACATCACAGCGACACGCACGCACTGCGCGGACTCAAACAAGCGACTTTGCAGAGGACGTCGCGTGCGGGCCAAGGCTGCGCCGTGACACGTTCTCCCTCCCCGAAGAGTGGCGTGAAGCACGCACACGCAGAGACGCACGCACCTGCCACCAGGAGCTGTGCAAGTCGGCGAACATCAGCTCGATCACATCGCCCGTGCGGGCGCACAGCGGGGCGCCATGCGGCGGGCAGGGGGCGCCACCGTAGTCTCGGATTACGTTATTGCCCTGGGGAATCCGCCGTTCACCAGCGGGTCTGCGAGCTGCAGCTTGGGGGGGTCTGCAGAATTATGACGTGGTGCAGATGATTTGATTTGGGGGGGGTGAAAAAAAAAAAAAAAAAAAAAAAGCCGCTGGCGTCAGGCTCTGAGGTGGAGACGGAGCGCTCATGCCAGGGCAGACGACAAGCCCACTTTGTCACCCGCCTTCATCCAGACCCCCTGAGGAACCTATTAACTGCCCCGCTCCACCTCACATGCTCATATTTTCAACATGAGCCTTTTACACAAAACAAAGCGAAGTGAGATGTTGCCGCAACTGTGCCACGGACAAACTTTGACGACGGCGTGGATAAATGCTACACCGATGCCTTGACTTACGAGTGCCCCAAATTCGAATCATCGCTTGGTTGATTGATTCTCTTCAATTTCCAGTATATATATAAATGTCCAAAAAACAAACAGACCTGGATCTGGAGGTGCTGTGCCTTCCTGAGGAGAGACGGGAGACGGGATCAGTGGAACCTAAACGATATGAGTCACAGTCATCATGGTGGACAGACATTAAGAATAAGGTACACTTAGGGGGGCTTTCATCACTGAGGAAAGACCATCATCATATATATCCATATATGAAAAATAGCAATGCTTACGTGGAAGAAGACAAAACAGCGGAGGTCTTCTTACCTTGGAGCGATGCTTGGATGACTCTGCGGAGGGAACAAAAGGTGAGCCCCGGGTGAGAAAAAAAATGTAAAGGTTGTCCTCACCTGTCCTCCTGCAGAGTCCCAGCTGACCAAGGCACTCCTTGTGGACGGCCAGTGCACATTTTAAACAAACGTAGCCCTGGTTGAAGATGCCCCTGCACGGAGACACATTTTGACATGATTTGATGTCATCCTCATGTCACGGATGAACACGTGAATAGAAAGCGTGAGTGTTACCTGAGCAGCAAGTGACAAAAGCTGCATGAGGAGATTCGGTCAAAGGTGTGCATCTTGAACTGGTGACCGTTATGGTTGGCCAGAGCCGGTCGGATGTTCGATCTGGTCCGCCAAATGGAGGAGATAAAACACCTGAATATCATTCTTTTTGTTCGAGTCGCTCGGTTGGCAGGGTAGCGATAGCGGGCAAATGTTAGTCAGAGTAAGGCGTTGTCGAAAATACTTGGCTCCTCCCTCCAAGTACCACCATCGTGACCAACATTAAGTACAATTTGTGGCGACTTGATTCACCTCTGATGCAAACAATGACCAACAAAAAGACACACAGAATTGTAATTTTTAAAAAAAATTACACTTACACGGCCATTTCAAACTGATCCAGCCATTTCTTCTTCAGCTCCCTGGTCTTGAAAAAGAGCTCAAAGCTGGTGTGGCCTTGCTGGTGCGTCACGTAGAAGCCGTAACACCACTATGTGAGGGGCGACAAACAACGACATCCATCAGAAATTTGAAAACGATTTTTCAAAAACGGTCAGTTGCTGAGTTCAATCTCCAGAAATTATTATTTCCCTAACCTTTACCTAAAGAAAGTCGTTCCCCCTAAATTTAGATTTGATCGCTAAAATGACAGTTTTTTTTTCTCAAAAAAACACAGAACTTTTGTCACGAAATGTATTTCTTTATACTCATAGCACTGTGATTTTTTTTATCCATGGAAAATTAAAACACATTTCTTTTATCAACAAAAAAAAACTGTGCCAAAAAAAGTGCTCAGCCAAAAAAAAAAAAAAAAAAAAACTCCTTCCAAAAATTTGACATTATTTTTGTGAAAAGAAGAACTGTTTTTCTTGGAAATTTTTTTAAAATATATTCAACAATATCAGGGGCGTGGTAGCCTTTGAGAGAATCCCAAACAGCTGTTTTATTTCAGGGCCACATTTGATGACCCAATGACAAAAATGTTTTGGTGCACGACGGTCCCCGTCCACCGCGGACCAATTGGTTCAATTTACTCACAAAATGACTCTATGACTACAGTATTCGAGTAGTGGAAGAGCATTTCACTGTTCTGCCAGTCACTGTAAGTCACTCGCATAGATAGTGTCGATGAACAAAGCCGCCTTATTTTTGGTCAACAAAATCCATTTTAGTCCAATTAAGAGAAATTGGATCATTTCCCCTGTCACACCTGATGATCTCTGGCTGGGAATCACTTATGTTTTCAAACATATTTCTTCCACAAAACCCCCAAAAATTAACGTTCCGAAGTTTCTCCAGTGTGATCCGACACATCCCCCCACAGACATATTGCGGATCAATTTCCGCGGCGTCCCCACTTGTCCCAAGCCCCTGATGTGCTGCAGCTTGTGGTGTCACATCTGATCAAATCAGTTTCAGCCGTCGCTCACCATTTTTGGTGCCCCCCCCCACCCCTCCCGTGAACTCCACAAGTGTTTTTAGGGCTCCGCCGAGCGTTAAATCAGCCGCCGCCGCCGCCGCTACTCCGCATCCGAGCTCTGAAGTTTTATTTAGCGGCGAATGACATATTGCTGTGAGCAGCCTCTGATCAGCGCACGCGTTCATCACTCGCTATGCCGTGCGGCGTGCCGCGTTTGCGGCAGACTTGCTCTTTTTCTCGTCTGCGTTGCTACGTTGAGTGTTTAAAGGTGAGCTGGGATTGGGAGTCGGAGGTCAACTGTAGCATGACATGGCGTGGTTTTTCAAGAAAGGGATCATTCTTCTTGACTTGAGGATATGGCGCAAGTGTACCTCATCAAATATTGTGTTATAAACGGAGAGCGAGATCACCTTCTTGCCCTCCTTGTCCGACATGGGGTTGTCGGTGATCTTGAAGACGTTGAGGTCGAGCACGTCCTTCATCTCGTAGTTGTCGCCGCGTCGTTTGCAGACCACGGCGGCCACGTCAAACAAAAATAGGTGTCTGAAAACCAGGCCGCGGCAATTCGGTCGGCTGGAGTGTTAAGATGAAGACAAAATGTCCGCTCCGCAAACCTGTCCAGTTTCCTGCGGTCAAAGTTGGACACCATGCGCACTTCTCCGTCTCCTCTCGGCCGACCGTAGCGGATTAGAGGCTGGTTCTTTCGGGTACAGCAGCAGATTATTTTTGTTATGATCAGAATATATCAATATATAAAAAAAATATGACACTTGTGCTGCAAATGCTATGTATCCATAAAATCATAACATACGGCCACGTATTGTAATGCAATAGAACACTTTAAAAAAAGAAGAAAAAAATGATAGGAATAAATCATAAAACAGAAGGAAGCTGTTGTACAACGTGTATATAACAAAAGACTTTTTTCTAAAAAGCGAAGAAAGGTACTCATAAGGTTCCTCCATTTTCTCCTAAAAATGAGTTTGATGCTTGCAAAATAACTCAGAATAGAAAACTTTTTTCTCGACATTAACCCTTTCAGGGACAGCGGTTACTACAGTTTATCAGGTTGTCATTATTGGGGCATAAAAGGGTTCATCTCAGCATAATTTAGTCTGAAAATAATCAACAACAACAATGCTTTTCGAGACAAATCTAATTGCATTCTTGTAAAATCAAAACAGCTATTTACCAACTACCGTACTTTTAATGTCATTTGCTTTCCAGCGTGGCCCTGACACTGGACTGCATAATCAAAACATACAAAAATAATTAAAAGAAGCAACCGATAATTAATATTGAGCTGGTTTCTATACCTTTCGGCATGAATGCCGGCCTTTGTCTAGCTCGATGCTGCCAGCAACAATTACCATATTGTTATCACCAGCTGATGTTTCCTTGCTCAATGAAGACTTTTTTTTAAACAGGGCGACCCTGAACACATTCGACTGTATTTCTTCGCAACACAAACGTGATCTGAATGAAAATGTTACATGCGTGAGACCTACCAGGTTCTCGATGGACCGCTGGTACTGGTCCATCTCCCGGAGTGTCTCGTTGTCTCTCTTCACCTCATTGACAAATTGAGCCAGGTCCTGAGACACACACACACACACACACACACACACACACACACACACACACACACACACACACACACACACACACAGGACACTTCATTTGATACACAGTCTCGTTTGTCTTAAGTGCAGGAGAAGTTGGACAGATGCGAAAATAATGACAGTGGCCACAATATTAGGGACAGAGAACCCCAACTGTTCCAACCGAGCCACGCCACAAATAGTGAAAAGCTGTGAGGATTTGATGCCTGCACAAAAAGGTTTGTCATTGCCGATAGATGCCATAAGATGGCAGTGAAGCACTATTTCTCTGTTAGACAAGGCTATGGCCTGACTCAATGAAGCTCCGAAACTCACTTCAACAGAGTTGCCTGGCATCAAGGTTGGAGTTTTAAAGAAAATAACACAGAATAGGTTATTTAATCGTTTTTTAAACAATCTGCGAACTACAAATCTGTGGGATCACTGTTCACTTTTCTACTTACTTTCATGGCATCCAGCGCCACCTTCAGGTTGCTCTTGTCTGCAGCATCGTGAGTGTGCTTTAGAAGCTCCTGCGGGAGAAAATAATTTATTTACTTTAGTGTCAAACCGCGACCATCGTAAAAACATGACAGAACCTAATTGCTAAGTTTTAATGGCTAATCATGCTGATCTCCTAAAAAAATAAAATAAAAAAATCTCTTAAATCACAATTTATTTTAGCAGAATGATTACAACCTTTGTTCTCATCTTTAATCTTCTAAATTACATCATCTTCCAAAATATTCATCTTCTACATTCTCCTAAAATTATGACTCTTGCTCCTGAATCTCATAAAATTACAACTTTGTTTTTTTACAATGTTACATTTAGCTGAAAATTACAACTTTATTCAGCATGTTTTTTCCCCTAAAAAAACAAGACAATTTTCTATTAGAGAAAAAAAAAGTCACGTAATTATCAAGTTTTTCAAATAAAAATATAACTATACTCTTGTAAGGTTATGATCGTTGTATTTAGAAAAATAAACAAACTATTCCCACAAATACGGAAGGTCATTTCTGTCGGTAAAGAAACAAAGCAAGAGAAGGTGTAAATGGGACAATTCACATTGTTGCCCATGTCTAAAAAAAAAAAAAAAAAAGTTACAACTATGAGATACAATATCATAATTATGAGATATTATCCCCTAAAAATGAGATACAATCGCATAGTTACATATTAGGTCAACCACCAGTAACAACTTCCATTTCCAATTATAACTTTTTTCAGAAAAAAAAACACACCTTTTTTTTAAACTTGAATCTTCTAAATAAAAATAAAAAACTTTTCAAATAAAGTGAAAAAAAACTCCGACTAAAAAGCCAAATACAACCCAAGACACGTGTAGTGTTAATCCTTAAGATGCTGAGGGAATTTGCAATGAAGTGCATTTCAATTTCAATTCACACATGCACACGCCATCCTCTCGAGCAAGAAGCAGTGGGACGTTATTGATGGAAGGAGAGGGCGTGTGTGTGTGTGCGGGCGGCCATCTGTTGACGACACCTGAGGACGACTTTGTGAAGGTCAACGCAAATGAACGAGCCCAATGGGGGAGTATTTACTCTATTTTCTTACACTTTAAAAGCTGGTCCTTGGGCAACGTTTTTTTTTTGTTTTTGTTTTTTTTTTACATAAAGCAATCAGGATACAAAAAAATGCCCGATGATTTAACAAATGATGACAATCAATTATGGCATTTAACTTATTTAAGGACATATTTAATTTGAACACGTACAATTGCATGTTTCTGTGGCGTGACTGAGACCGTGAGCCAAAATGTGGAGAAAGTCTCCCCCTAGTGGTTAAATATAGAGCGGTAAGAATTTCACCCACTTTCACCGTATTTGTTTTTAATTTTTTTTTTTTTTACGTATTACATATTTGATGAAAAGTATGTGTTCTACTTTTTGAGTTAATGAAGTGTATAGTAATAAAATATAATTTGTAAGGTTTTATTTTTGAAGTGTTTTTTTGAAGCGTTTATTTTGAATGAAGTCACCAAATATGGTTCCTTTACCCTATGAAGTCATTTTACAAAGCATACGAACGATGCGAAAAGAGAATGACCAAAATCCTTCAATGAAAATTCCATACTTGCAACAAAAGGTGGTACTTGAGGACCCTCTGCATAGGGACCACCAGCAGGTCCCTCAGGGTAAACTTGCCGTTATTGGCCCTCTTGGAACACTCCTGCAAGTGCAAGTGTGACCATAACTCCTGGAACATTTCTTGGTGAACAATGCATGCCGCCGCGATGAGCACGGTGTAGATGAGCTTGTAAAATCCTGACCTCTAGCTTGAGCCGGATATCCTCCTTCTCCTTGCAGATGAGGTCCAGCACGGCGATGGCGATCTCCACGCGGCTGCAGTATATGCCATAGATGAGAAGTCTGTGAGACAAAAGTGATACAACCCACTGTGAAATGGTACTTGTAAGGCAAAATTGACTTCTTAATGGCTTGCATCCGAATAGTGGGGTCTCTGCAGTGCCTCGCTATTCATCCATCCATCCATTATCCGAGCCGCTTTATCCTCACAAGGGCTGCGGGCATGCCGGAGCCTATCCCAGCTGTCTTCGGGCAGTCGGTGGGGGACACCCTGAACCGGTTGCCAGCCAATCGCACAGCACACAGAGATGCTCCTTCCAATAAAGGTGAAATACCTCTCTTTGTAGCTGATGAAGATCTGGTAGAGGTTCAAAGCGTTCTTGTTCAGGATGGAATCCTGAACGTCAGCCATCAGGCTCTTGTGAACCTTCACCAAGTCCTGCGGCGAGTATGAAAGCAGTGAAATGTTTAAAATAAGAATAAGAATCAATTTTTTTCATTCATCCTCCAAACATATGACAAGAGGAAAACTCACTGGGATGTTGACAAACACTTGGTCGATTTCAGCCACGGAGAAAAACCTCTTGAGCGGGTTGAGGAAATACTGCGAGAAGACACACACAACAGCATCATTATCCAACCTGCTGGCAACAATATGAATGCAAATGTGTATTAATTCATAACAGCACTCAAACGGAAGCCGGCGGCATTGCAAATCAAGGGCCAGGAAGAATGGGACATTAACATAAAAAGTGGAACAACTGCTAGATAAACACGAAAGGCATGATCATCGGGGACCGTAAAATAACCCACTGGATAACCACTAACATAAAAAGTGTCGAACCCTGTCGACCTCCGTGCCGCCCTAAAAATGTAAAAAACAGTAACATGTGTCTTTTATAGTTGGGAGCCTCTGATCCTAGATTTGCCTCCGATAGATAGTAAGGTGGGTCAGTCAGAATTTCTGGATACAAATAAGAATGAATCATACAATTGGGGTCACAAGGGATTGCCAACGCGCGTGTGCCAAGTATGTATGTGTGACGTGTGCTCTTCGGGACCCCACGCCTGAAGTATTTGCGCACGTTTGGGAATGTTCAGCCGGCTAATGAGCATTATTTTGAAGTGTTAAGCAATCAGTCAATAAAGCCCATCTAGGCAGTGTGTCATTTCCTTTGTCGTTCCTTCGCAATTAGCCTTTCGCGCTGTGCTCGCACAAAGGGTGGTAGATAGATAGATAGATAGATAGATAGATAGATAGATAGATAGATAGATAGATAGATAGATAGATAGATAGATAGATAGATAGATAGATAGATAGATAGATCGATCGATCGATAGATAAATGGCCTAGCTACGGCCTTGCTAGCAAATCATGGCCGGAGAAACTCAGTGGTGACAGTATTATGTAAATTAGCTGAATTGCAACACCACAATTTATTGTATGTGGTGAGATTTATTTATTCATTTATTTTTCAAATCTCAATTGAAGCTAAAATATTGTCTTGATTGTGTGTCCACCAATCCAGAATAAAGGTCAACGCAACGGAAAGAACTGCACGCTTGATTGAGCGTGACGCAAAGATCCGACAGGCAACGCGGGTACCTTCTCGATGGATTCCAGCGTCTCCGTGTACTTCTCCTCCGTCTGCTTGATTTCGGAGAGGCAGCAACTGCGAACGTCTGACATCTCGACCTGCTTCTGGAAAGAAACGCGGCTCGTTGTGAATCTTAACAAAGGGATTAAAAAGTACATTCAGCGAGCTGCTAACAGCAATACAGTAAACTGTACTGTACTAATTTGTGTGTGTGTGTGTGTGTGTGTGTGTGTGTGTGTGTGTGTGTGTGTGTGTGTGTACCTGCTGCTCGGTCCTCATAAGGTCCTCATAAATCTCTCCCCCTGCATAGTCTTCTTCCAGGGTGTATACAGTCGCGTACAAATCCTCCTCATCTTCCATGGCATGTTCACTACAAACCCACAAAAAAAACCCAACAACAACAAAAAACATGCAAACTTGAAATTCGGTAGGCATCTCTATCAGGAGTAGACCCACAGAAAAGTCTCAAGAAGCCAAGCAAAGAAAGAAAAAAGAAAAAGGAAAAAAAAACATGGGAAGTCTGCCATTTTGGTTTGTGGTGGCCATTTTACGGTCATTTGGGCCCTTTTCAGGGGTCCGTCGAAGATAGAATGATTGCTACTAAGGTTGAGCTATGTCTTTGCGTTTTCATTGTGTGTAAGCTAAGTCTGACGACTCGCTGTTGAACATAAAACCAAAAACCCACCCGCACAAGGTCAGAGCTGGACAAAACTTGTGTGGTGAAGGTCCAACTATAAAGTGAATCATTTGCGCCCCCTACTGGCATGACTGGCCTTAACGCATCAAACTCTCTTGGTGGAAGTTGTCCCCCCCACCCCTCAAGAATTTTTAATAGGCATGTCATGCAAACTCATTCATTTCCTTTGATAATAGCAAACAAACAGAGCAGCGCCTCGGAGAGCCAAGATGATGGGCCGAGACGGTTCTGACACGCGCTGACATAATTATGTTCTACCAACAGCGATAATAGACCCTCAGAGAGAGAGAGCGCGGGGGCGACACCTCATACATACTCAATCAGGTCTTCCAGGTGATTGTAAACGTCCTCGTCCTTTAGACTCTCCTCTGTGGGGAAAGGCCTGCGAATGACAAAGAAGACATTTGAAGATTACACTGGCTTCCAATGAGCGGATAGATAGATTCTTTTAAATTCTGATCGTGGTCTAGAAATCAAGGTTTGAATCCTGAATGCATTCAAGAAATCTGGTGGGGCTCTGAGGTCTCCTAACTTGGGGCAATCAGTGGAACCCAGAGTTCAAATGAAACATGGTGACACTGCATTTAGCTGTTGTTAAACGCTCTTTGGTGTTGTGGCATTGCTTGTGTGAAGCCCAACAACAAAAACAACAACTTACTTGAATCCTCCTTGCTGGGCTATTGCTGTATATGACAGTTTGGATAGGCTGTCCATGACCTGGTGAAACATGTCAATTTTAAGGTTAGAGCATATACTGTTGAGTGTCTATTCATACATTGACATTAAAACCAACCTTCCACGCAAGTTGAAACAAGGACTGGTTTTTAGTCAAGTGCTTGAAAACCACAAAACTCAGCTCCAAAGTTCTGGGGAAATACGTTGGTTTCACAATGCGCTACCCGCACTGGTGTTGAATACATCAATGATAGCAACCTCCAATATAGTCACATCAAAAAAAGTTCTCCATGATCTAGAGGTGCCACAAAATGGCAGCAAAGCACTACTTTTATGTTAGACAGGGCAATGGCCTGTCGAAATGAAGCTCCTCCCCTCACTTCATCGAGTTCCTTGGCACAATGTAGCGGCAAAGCAATACTTTAACAAAAAATACAAAACATTAGACAAAGCTTCGGCCTGAGCACAAAAACAGCTTATAGGTGAAATTATCTGCAAATACCAGAGGGCAGGTCCTGAGAAACTATCTTTGACTATATAAATGATCAAAGAAGTGAATCTGAAATATGCAGGAGGACACTGCACAAGGAATTCAAAACTGTACATACAGAACAATGAAACAGCTTGAGTAGCCTTCTTTCGCATTTTAGCTTAGCTTTGCCAACAATTGTCATCCACCCGGCCACAACAACATCCATCGAAGCCCCTGGTTCATCTTAGATTCGCAACAAAACCACGCGGGTGTCATATTTAATATTAGCGTCCCTTTCTAAACAGTCGTAGCATTCAACAGCAAAATGAGCCGGAGTCTTCCTCACGGTTGCTTCTTCTATTCAATTCCTTCAAAGCTTCTCAAACTTTCAAGAGTTGATGAGTTGAAGAGGCGGTTCATGAGGTTTTCATCAGACAGAGTGGCCGCATTCAGCTTCCTGTGTGGAAACTGACGTGGCGTCTTGTCCACCAGGTGCACTAGCAGTATGTTCTCTTTGCAGTTTGATACTCATTAAACACAGAACGGATTTTAAAAAAATAAATAAATCTGACTGTGAAGTAGAGATGATGCCATTTCACAAGAGCCCGGACTGACTTCTTCTCTTGAGGGTGCCGCAGAAGTATTGGGACGCATCTCTTTTATTTGACTCGTAAAAAGTCAGAAAATCATTTTATTTATGCCCCCCCCCCAAAAAAAAAAAGTAAATAGCTGCAGCATGTGTGATATTTATTCAATTTTATCGTCTGCTTCATTCAAAAAAAGTGAACAAGACAGTGGAGGATAAAATAACCACTGTGGTCTGTCGCCACCGGGACTTGTACAACACAGCCAGTCTCCAATACGAGGGAGGAAGGGGGGGGGGGGTCAATTATTGTTTTTTTCCAAAGCTTTTTGCTATGGAGTGACAGGGTCAAATTGTATGAATATACACAAACTCCACTTCAATCGTTGTAGTTGTCGTAATAGTGGTAGTAGTAGTAGCACGAAGCATGTTTTTCAGTGGTCACTGCAATGTAGGTTAGTCATCTTGTCATCAGTGTTCTAATGCTGCATCTTCTCGACCTCCAGTTGGCATCACTGACAAAAAGTGGATTATCCTGGTTCTGATTTTTCACATGTTCCCTTCTAGGGGGAAAAAAAAAACCTCCCAGCAACACACCTTTTCCACATGTTTAAATTGTAAGCATCCCAGCTGGATTTTATCCATCCAGGATGAACCTGACACGCTGAGAGGTGGCGGTGTTGTTGACACCTTGCCAGAAGGTTGTTTGACGAGGATTATACGGTACTGTACAAGATGCCTGGTACAGTACATATTTGCAGTGTGCGGGATTATCAGATTAACTGGAAGCTTCTTTGGACCTCAACTCAACGAAAAGAAAATAGCATAGGAAAGGCATGCCAGCACCCGGCTTTGAAGCTGTTGCCACGCTTTGGAGAGACAGCACAAGATGATAACGGAAAAGCATGTGCGGGAATATAATGAAGGGGTTAAATCAATCTGAATGTCACCTTTCCGAAGTCACGCACGTCAAACAGGTCGAAGGCATCAAACAGGTCACTTTTCTTCATGCCAAACACGTCGCAGCAGCACATCAGAAAGGTGCGAATGTTCTTCAAGCACAAAAACTGGGACAGTGATGGCAGGAAATTGTCAGGTATTAAATCGTTTTGATACATCGTGTACATGTTATATAGCCTGCTCACTGTATTCAATGAGGTGTAGTTGTAACGGGGGGGAGTAAGACTACCGATTTCACAATGAACCCGTGGGTGAGTATATTGGCTCCCGGCAACCTGTACAAGAACACTATTAGGATAAATAGGCTTGCCGTAGTTGTGTGCGTGTTTGGACTCCTACAAAAAAAGTCCAAGTGTGCATCTGGCAAAAGCAGCGCTGGAGGGAGGCTTGTTTGTCCCACAACACTGAGCTCCATTGACCCTGATGCTTTGCTTTCCACACAGGGCAGATAGCGGGTCACCGTGAAAGGGGGTCGCACACGTATGCTTTTTTTTTTCACTCGTACGCGGCCTACAGCTACGGGCTATCCTACTGTTTTGCCATCACAGTCTAGTGAGTACGCACAAGAGGGCCGCGCTAAAAACCTGACCGCAGCATCTTAGGGCTATTCTCAACTGACCACACAATTTCACATCATCTCCTGACAATAATTAACGTGCAACTATATATTTGCCATTTAACATGGCCTGATAAGAGGAAGGATTACTCTTGGAGATATTTTAGGAGCTCCCGACAGGCGATAAAGTGGGCATTTTTTTAAGTCACTTTATTGAGATTGATTCCGCCACAATTGCTTAAACTGGGGTCATCCTACAAAAATACTCTCTCCTGTGGAACAGAAAAGGCACACCTTAAATGTACATGATTTGGACTTAATGTCTTGAATCTTTCTCCAGTGGTGCCTTGAGATGCGAGTGACCCAATTTACTTTTTTTTCATATCCGGTACTTCAGACGATTTTTGTTTGTTTGTTTGTTTGTTTTTTACATTGACTTGCTGGCAGAAATTTAAGATGTGAGCTCTGCATGGTGGCAGTGAATTCAGTTGAACTCAAGAGCAAGGAGCAGTTTGGCAGATAGTTAAATGGGTTTCCGATACATACTGCACAATTTCTGCAATCACGTGATACGACTGATACTGTTGACCAAATACCTGAATACGAACACATTCCCAGCGATAGTATATAGGCATGTCCTTTCATTTCATATATTGTGGAGTAGCGTTGTATTGTTGCTACCTGGGACATCTGTGGCCTGAGGTTGATGTGCTTCAGGTCGATAGTGCTCGCCCTCAGGTTGTTGAGCAGCTGACAGAGCAGCACGCCATCGCGGAGCGTCTGCGCCAGGTCGAACACTTGCGCCGTGTCCGCGGTGACGCGATGGTTGAGCGGCAGCACCTTGCAGCCGATGAGCCACGCGGCGCACTGCCTCCAGTACTCCATGACGAACGGACGGTGCGTGAACTAGTTTGAAAAAAAAAAAAGATGAAGTTTACACGCAGAAAAAACACGGCATGACTACAGCTGCATCGCTCGCAGGAGCGCAAGTGGAAGCGCACGACAGGCGCAACTTAAGTGATGTGGGTCAAAAGTGGGCAAAGCTCGCCCCCCCCCGCCTCCTTCCTCCGCCTTCTAGTGACATTTTACATGCGGTGTAAGTCTCGCTCTCGGAAGATCACAAACAACGAATTATTTGTTTTGTTCACGTTTATTATTATTATTTTGGTTTAGATTTTTCATGTATTTTGAAAAATACAAGTGCATTTGTCATTTTCTTCATTTTTAAAATGTATTTACTGTATCTTTATTTGGGGGGAGACAAAATGTCACCCAGGAATCAAGTTGCAGCATTTATTTTCTCTATTTCAAAGGACAAGTGCGTTTTTGCACTTTATTTGGATTTGTTGCATTTGTGTAGTACGTTCATTTCCACTTTTAAAGGAATAACTACAACTGCTAATAACTGTACTATGACTGTAAAACAATAACAAATGAAATTTGCCTTAAATCAAGTGAAAGCAGTCTTAAAATGCATGTAACCACCTTCATCCGACCATCTTTAATCCTGACCTATAACTATGTGTAATGATGGGCATTGGAGACTGGCCACTGCCTCTCAAGCAAGCACAATTCCATCTCAATACTTTAAACGTACTGTTTACAGTTACGCATATTTGATAGTGAGATAAAAGCTGAACTCCAGTAAGAATGCAGAAAAAAAAAGAGATTCCCCCTGCAGTAGGATCATGAAGACTGACATAAACACAGGAAGGAAACCATTTTGAGTCTCACCGGATGTTTTAGTATTCCTCACTGCGCTGGAATGGATGACTTGTGCAGTCCAGTCAATGCAGCTATGTCCAATTAATTCAAATAGTTTAGAGAAGTTAATGATTTTGTGTTTATTGTGGTCAAACTAGATTTTATTTTCGGGAGAAAAAAAATTACCCTCAGCACACCCCACACCAAAAGATAATCGCTCAGGATAATATTTTAGAGACATCAGATTATCTGTGTTTTGTTGATTTTGATTGGAAGGTGTGAGGAGAATTGATCAAATTTGGCATGAGTGTCGGTAAGTGTGTGCCAGGCTTAGAGACCAGAATAAAAAAAATATATGTATTTTTTTAGTGTACATACTTTTATTTTAATACACAAGAGGTCGTTTTGGAGTAACATAGATAAAACACTATGAAATAGAGTCATTTTGTCACCGGAAATAAGCCCAAAATAAAACAAAGGCTAAACAGTCAAAACACAGTAATAAAAAAAGGTGGAACAGATTAACGTATACAGATAAAAGAGAGAGACGAAACAATATGAGCAAGATCATAGCACTTATTTGTAAAATTCGCTTCTCTTCAGCAGCTACTTCCGAGTTTGAAAACAACTTGGTTAGGTTACCGGAAACTAACCAAAGTAAAATTAAAGCGGAACTATCAAACATAAGAGACAAGATCACGTGTGTGTTCTGAACCTAATATTATGACTGGTGAGTGTGTATAAAATAAAACTAAAGGAAAAGAGCCAAGAAATAAAACTGAACGAGCAAGTAGCGTTTTATTTTCGCTTCCCTTCGTTGCTACTTGTAACTGGAAGACACCCCCCTCAAATCTTCCGTCAAAACGCAAACATAAGGTTTTCATGTTAAAAAATATAAAACAGAGACGAAAACAAGTCATTCGGAAACACAGTGGATCTTGATTTTATTTCTCGTTTTTTCCCCTGCTGCAACTTCCGGGTTTTTAAACAAAATCGTCACGTACGACTTGTCGGAAGTCCACCCCCTGCCCCCCAAAATAGAAGCTGAACCGTCAAAACATAAACAGAGCAGTCGACCTTGTTTGAACGCTGCAGAGTTTGTTTTCCTCTGAAAACTTGACGCACAATGCGGCGTCTTTTCTGTCTCAGCCTGGCTGGTAGAGGCGCGGTGTGACGATCGCAAAGCTGCCATATAAAAGGACTTAGCTTTCAGAAAGATAAAAAAAGAAGTGCGCCGAGTCGGGCCTGCGAGTCGAGGTAAAAAATGCTAAGGCTAAGTTAGCCGCTGTGTGTTTGTGTGTGTGTGTGACCAAACAGGTGTTGTTTGCTTTACAGCATCAAAAATGACAGCGGCGTATTTGTCAATATTATGCCAACGGTGGTTATCTAGCTACATGCTAATGTGAGAGGGCCTGTAAACGTCAAACCGAGTTTTAACGATGCCGTCACAAAGAGTGCGAGGATATATTGGGGTGGAATTAGCCCGCTGGTTAGCCAGCCTCGCAGGTTGCAAACGCCTCTCACGCACACACTAAACTGGACAATGCTGAACTTTTACAGTCAACTTGACTACTTTGAGACACCTGTATGACCCCCCCCCCCCTTTGCGTGTGTGACAGACTTGCCTTCACGGACGTCATGGCAGAAACCGAAGGCAAAGCCACGTCGCTCAACGGTAACTGGATTGCAAACCACTCGTGGTAGCCATTTAAGATCGTTTCTGACCACTGTTGGGTTCTTTTCAAGGGGCCTCTGGGGAGGAAGAAGCCAAGGGGGATCAACACAAAGACGCCTGTGGGAGCAAAGATGGAGCCAAACACAGTGGTAATTTTTTTTTTTTTTTTTTTTACATCTTATTATTTACATCACGAGGAGGTTGGAACCTTAGAAGTTGAAGGTAATTTAGCAAATAAGTGACAGGATGTTATGTTTCATGGATTTCAGATCAGTGAGTGACTACATAACAGAAGCTTTATGGCACAACTGATTGGCTAGTTAAATGAGCAAAATTTACACCACGAAATCAGCCATGTTTAATGCACATGTAAAAAGACCGTTATCTTCCCACTTATCTAGTTTTTTTTGGGTCAAACCTTTAACTGGCTCCCTTTGCTGAAAGCAACACTAATTTCCATGTTTGTTGCTCTACTTCAAGACAACGGAGAGGCATCTGGTGACAGAAATGGGCCAGAAAGTGAGCCGAAGGCGGAGGAAGGTGAAGAGGAGGAGGAGGAGGACGATGAGGAAGACACTGACAGCATGGATGGAAGCGCCCTCTTTTCTCTGACTGAGGATGGTGAAAGAGACAGCGAGGGAGGCAGACAAGAGAGGGCGAAAGATGGCGGAAGAAGGGCCGCACGGAAGCGGAACAGACCCTGCGGCGGCAATAACAACAACCGTTCCTCCAGCTCGGATGACGATGACGAAGAGGAACTGAAAGATGGTGACGAAAACGACAAGGAAGACGACGAGGAAGACGAGGCGATGGAGGCGTGGTTGGGCGCCGAGCTGCAGGACCTGCGCGGGCTGGCGTGGCGCGCCATCCCCTCGCTGCGCGGTCGGGAGATTGGCCGGGACTCACAACAGTTTGTGAGGCGCGTGTGCGGCGCCCGCGGCCTGGTGCAGAGGCTGGAACTACAGGGTCGGCTGGAGAGACACTCCGGCTGCGTCAACACGCTGCACTTCAACCCGTCGGGCACGCGTCTGGCGTCGGGCAGCGACGACCTCCGCGTGGTCATCTGGGACTGGGCCATCCGGCGCGCTGAGCTGGAGTTCGACAGCGGGCACAAGAGCAATGTCTTTCAGGTGAGGGGTGCAACACTAACATGCACTGTACAGGACAGTCACAATTGAAGACAAAGAGAAGTTAACCGCTGTATAGTATTCACGGAATAAAACTGACATAAGTTTTTTTTGTTTTTTTTTTAAAGATAGCAGTGGAGGTGCATGGTTTTATCCCGTTTTGTTTGACATGTTGTGTGAAGCTCTTAGTAGATGAAAGAAGAGCAGGATACAATAAAATACAACACATCCTGATTTATATAGCGCTTTCACAACAGCTGCAGCTGTAACAAGGCGCTTTACAAAACAGTTAACATAAAGTAAATAAAAAACACAACACACAACATAAAACAACGGCGAGTTGCAATCTTAATTTGCAATGCAAATGTAATACAAATTTCCCCAGTGTGGGACAAATAAAGGTTATCTTATCGTAACCACTTTTCCCTCATACGTTTTGTTGTTTGAAGCAGTTCTAGATGAAAGAGAGAATCAAAGTGTCCTTCCACCAGTGGATCAAAGACGTCATGCTAAAAATGTGCACATGTCGGCTACAAGCAAAGCTTCAAATAAGTTGTAGCGTCCATTGACGAAAAGGAGATTGGTTCACTTCTACTGTCCCATGTAAATCCGCTTCAATTGCAAGCGGCGACTTTGTTCCAAATACGATGCGTATGGCCAGGATGCTGTAATCTCACATGACGTCACTTGCTGAATTTAAACAAACTATTTCATTTTTCTAAGAGCCGATAGTTTCTCCGTTGGCGAGTAAGACACGTAAAGATGGGTTGATTCAGTTTTCTAGCTCATTTCATTTCAAGCTCACTCAAGTCTCATTAGATTTCAAAATTACGCACGGTGAAATTTGTTCTGGCCCACAAGGCCAAGTTCCTACCTCACAGCGGCGACTCCACCTTGGCCATGTGCGCCCGTGACGGTCAGATTCGTGTGGCGGAGCTCTCAGCCACCCAACGCTGCAAGAACACCAAGAGGGTGGCACAGCACAAAGGGGCTGCACACAAGGTCCAATACAGAGACACACGCACACACATTTGCAAATGTATAAACAAGACATTGATGTTGTAACTTACTGGGTTTTTTTTTGTGTTTTTTTTTTGCATCAGTTGGCCCTGGAGCCCGACTCTCCGTGCTCCTTTCTGTCGGCGGGAGAGGACGCCATCGTGTTTGGAATCGACCTGCGGCTTGATCGTCCTGCTAAGTGAGTACTCGTGTCTCATCTAATACTGTGCTTGTCTTGTGCCACGAGCAAAAAAGAAAAATTGCAATACTAGCGGCATACACCGTGTAAACCAAAATATTAAAGAATGCTTCAAACTTAGCCCGATATTTTTCTTTGGTGAAATTAGTAAACAGAGTTTTCCCCCCCCCCTGATTTAAAGACGATCATTTTTAGTTTGGGTATTTTAAATTGTAAATTAAGCATTTGAGACTTAATTTGGGAAACAAACAAACTTGTTGCAAACGTTTTTCAAGGAGGTATTACATGCCATTGCAAAATTAACCAACTCCCAAAAAGTGGCTTCAAGATGTGATACAATTATTATACCAGATGGCCATTACACCCCCACAAAGGGCACTCATACACCGCCAGTAGTGCAAGAAACCCTTCAGCACCCCCACGTTTGGTTGAGTTTGGTGTGCAAGATGCCCATTTAACACCTGTTAAACCTTCCCCTTGTTTTGCAGCAAACTGGTGATGGTGAAGGAAGGTGACAAAAAAGTGGGCCTCTACACAATCTTCGTCAACCCGGCCAAGACGCAGCACTTTGCGGTCGGCGGGAGGGATCAGTATGTCAGGTCCGTAAGCTTAATGGCCACCACCATGAGGATATAACGTCAGTCAGTGCGACACACATCAGTTTGATGACAATCACAACAGGTGGATGTAAATTAATTGTACCTTCTGCCATCTAGTGGAAGAGAGTTGAATTGCTCTTCCTGTGAATAATTGTTGCAAGAATAGATACATTTACAGGTATCGATAAGCGAATAGAAATTTTGGGAATTTATAAAGTGAACATGATTATTTCCACTCACGTGGTTAGGAATCACTGCCCTTGACTGCCCCCGTTGTTGCTCCATAGGATTTACGACCAGAGGAAGATCAACGAGAATGACAATAATGGCGTACTGAAGAAGTTCTGCCCCTCACATCTGGTGTCCAGCGAGTCCAAAACCAGCATCACCTGCCTCGTGTACAGTCATGATGGCACAGGTAAGATTACACATTGCGAAAAATCACACATGGAAATGGCATGAAGGCGCTTTAAATTTAAAGCAAACGTCCGCTTTTCGCTGAAGGTGAATAATTAGATCTGACTCTATTTACTGAGGCCCGCAAAGCATCAACACCATGCTTCCAGCATGGTACACAATCATCAACCCATGGTACATACATGATTGTATTCAGGAGTTAAATTACCCAACCAACTCACCTTCACATGAGGATGATTGGTAGAATTAGGCAACAATTTTGAAAAATGTCGAATCATAAATATGCAAGCTTTTACTGTATTATTATTATCATCATCTAGAGCTACTTACCACCTACAATGACGAGGACATCTACCTGTTTGACTCCAACCACAGCGACGGTGCCGACTACTGCAGGAGATACAAGGGACACCGCAACAATGCCACAGGTAGGATGACAAGTCTGACCAAATGCGTATCCAATCTCAATATCCCTCTCACTCCACCCTACTACCACCCGGAAGTGAAGGGCGTCAACTTCTACGGGCCGTGCAGCGAGTTTGTGGTGAGCGGCAGTGACTGCGGACACATCTACCTGTGGGATAAACACTCAGCTCGCATCGTCCAGTTCATGGAGGGCGACAGAGGCGGAGTGGTGAGTATGGGCTGTCAGGTTTGCGCAAGGCACTACAACATTTTATTTAGTTTTTCCATTATATTTTTGGTTTAATAGTTAAGATGAGTCATCCAGGTTATCTCATTAAAATATTAGTAATTGATATATTTCGTCCCAATGTTTTATTATTTTTGTACTTGTAGTAACTTTTCAAAAGTTTATATTAAACTGAAGATTTAAATGCAAAATATTTTAAATGTATCTATTAGGTTTTTTTTTTTTTTCAATTCCTATCATATCCTTTGATTTTAATTTAAAATGTATTTAATATGAACATGCAACTTGGGTTGTATTAGTTTTACTATTATATTAATGAACTCAAAAATCCAATTTCATAAATATTTGCTCTTTTTTATTTTCATGTTTATGAACCCAATTCATCCTATTCAATTAATATATTTAATACAAATACATAAATGTATATCTAATCTCATTTAAAATGTTATTTAGTATTTTTTTATATTTTATATATTGTATCTAATATAAACCATAGTTTTGGTTTTAAATTTATTAATTTTCATACACTGTATACATGCGTTGGCATTGTCAAGTCATCGAGTCCATCCACTCTCAATTAAAAAAAAAACAAACAAAACGTTTGGGACATGAATAGAAAAACAGCTCAAGTACAATAACAATAATAATAATTTTAAAAAGCCGACACTTTTTTTGCTGGCCTGATGTCGCCCAGGTGAACTGCTTGGAGCCGCACCCCCACCTGCCAGGCATGGCTACTAGCGGCCTGGACCATGACATCAAGCTGTGGGCCCCCACTGCCGAGGTTCCCACTGGACTCAAGGGCCTCAAAGAGGTATCTGCTTCTTAACCGGAGGTTTCTCAAGCAATCGTACTTGGAGCCAAACACGGGTGTGTTTGTGCTCTACCTGAAGGTGATGAAAAAGAACAAGCGGGACCGTGATGTGGACACCGTGCGGCATGGCGACCAGTATGACACCCAGCTGCTGTGGTTCCTGATGAGACACATGAGGACCCGACGGCCACAGAGCGTGAGTTCTGGGGAGAATATTGTCCCGGTGTACCTAATGAAGTGTCCATGTATGTGCCGTTCAGTGGTGCCTTAAGATCCAAGCGACCTAGCTTACGAGATTTTCAAGGCACAATGCGTTGTATGCGTACAAATGTGAAAGTCGAGCGTGGTCTAGTGGAAGTGAACTCAACAATAAGAAGCTTGCCTGGCTAACAGTTTCGACTGTTGCTTCAGCCTTCATTGTAGCTGTCAATACTTCCTGGTGACACGTATTGACGTAATGGTCTGGAAAAAAAGAAAGCTTCAACGAATTTGAGTTGTTTTGAGCTGGGAGCGTGGTCATGGAACAAATTCAACTCGTATCTCAAGGCACCAATGTACTGTATATAAATGAGTTCACCCTGCTCACTTCCTCTCCTTTGGTCTCCATCCAGACACGACGTGAAGGAGCTGACGCCGACACCGACGAGTCTTGGAGCTCGCCAGACACCTCTGACGAAGAGGAGGGGAGTCCAGATCATGTTCAGTGCATGTCCTCCTGAGCCACACACACACACACGCACACACATATATACAGATACTGTCCAGTAAAAAGCAGGTACTGCGTGTCCCCCAAAAAATAAATAAAAAAATCAACAGCAATGTTTTGGATAACGAGAAAAATAATTAACAACTGAAAATGTAGTACACAATAATGTTTCAGACAATAAGGAAACAAATTCATCACTTGTGATTTGTGTCCAAAAGAAAGATTCAGGGCTACAAATTTATATTAATAATCGATGAACCAGATTTAACAAAAGTTTTCATTTCCATCCCCATATTTAAAACAGGGCATTCTTCCAAATTGGAAAAAAAAGTGTCCAAACTTTGTGATCATTTGTATCCCAACAAAAAAACCAAAACATTGTTTCTAATTAAGAAGGAAAAAGCACATAATGTCTCAGGGTTTTTTTTTTGTGCCCAAAAGACCAAAAATGTTGTGAAAGTAATTAAAAATTTAACATTATTGATATTAATTGTTACCCACCCCCCACCCCTCCCATAATGTTGAGGGTAAAGCCCTCAGAAAGTTTGGTTGCCAAATGCAGTGATATTTATGCCCGAAAAAAAATTGCAGAACATATTGGGACAAACAATCAAAAAAAGTACAATAAGTGGTGTTTTTTTGTCCACAAAAATAACAACTATCTAGGGGTTTTGGGGTGGAATCACCAAATTTGTTGTACAAAACAAGATTTTTTGTGTGTGTCTCTACAGAAAAACAAAAAAAAAAAATGTCTGTGTATACTAGAAGCAAAATGTTAGCAAAAAGCAAAAAAATGGTTTTGTGTACAAAAAAAAGGCTTTGAACAACAATGGAAAAAAAAAACGTGCATTTTGTTTTGGTCAAAGATAACATTTTTCTGACAATGAAAATTTGACTCGTGAAAAAAGTTAACATTTTGGGTACTTTTTTGCACAAAAAATGGCATAGAATGTTGCGTTTTATGGAAAAAAATGAACAAAATATTAAAAACAAAAAAAAAAACGTTTCCACAAAACTTGGAGGTGCATGCGTTTTATTAAGACATCCATGTTGCATACATGTATACATAGAAGATGCACATATGTACGCAGAGAGCCAATGACCAATGAAAAGCATCCATCTCCAACTCAAGTGTAAAAATGATGGTGCTGCCTGCTTTTCACTGGACAACCATGATGCATTCATGCCCTCTTTAGCATGATTGACACACTGACACACACACAAATCAGACTTAGTGATGGTGAAGAATGCTGGCCACTGTACGAAGACGTCAATTTTCCTATGTCCCATTTTTGACTGCTGCCTCTAAACGTACACCAGCACGTAGCCACACTCCTTCCCATTGTAGCGACAAGCTCCTTCTGCGCCAGATTGCTGACCCCTCCCAAACTACTGAGTGCACTTTGAATCAGGGATGTTGCCGTTTGACACATGCACTAAAGAGTGATTTTTTTTTTCTCTTTTGTCAGCAGTGATTTTTTTTTTTTTCACAGCACTCATAGGTTTTCTCACTTCAGCCTATTTCTGTTCACTCCACCTTTGACAGGAAACGTTCTGCTCACTTTCACTGCATGCGCCACGGACGAACTTTTTTTCCAGTCCCCCCCCCCGTTCGGATTCAGTGCAATTGCTCCAGTTCACCCACGCAATTTTTAAGTTGTACGGCCCTGAGAATGAAAACCAAATGGTACCCAACTGGAAAGGGAAAAAAAGTTCCCCAAACCCCAATTGGAAGCCGTACGATCTGTAGCTGAATTAGAAGCAGCTGATTGGCTGGAAACTGGAATAGGTATAGAGGGTGGCATTGGGGGATTTTTGAGGAGGGTGGTGGTTTCTTTGGACATCGTGCTTGCCCGTTCTTTGTGGTGTGAGAGCAATTGAAGCTTGGCTTTTTTTTTTCTCGTTTTCTGAGAATTCTTAGTCAAATTGTACATATATAAATATGAAAAGTGTAAAAAAAAATTACAAAAAAATCAACCTATAGAAGATGCTGTTTGTCATGCAAAACATTTGATTGGTTAAAGATGCAGAGGTTTATATTCGATACAGATCCAACATGCACCTTTTTCTCCTGATCGCCCGAGACTGTCCTTTACGGTATTATGTTACCATTGTACACAATACTGTTTTTCATTTGAAAAAATGATTTCAAATTTTCCCACCCACAGGCTTAACATTTTTGAAACGTCTACTGGTTCTGTTGGAAATATGTTGAAGAATTTGTGCAATAAAACAGACAGTACTCTTGATGTTTTGTCCTATTTACACGTCTCATGAAAACGGTTGCTCTCATGGTTGTATGCATTTCCTGATGCTTGAGAGGATAAGCGGCTCGGATCATGGATGGATGGATAAGTTTGTTATTTGGTGGATTCAGAGAACAGAGCATAGTGTCCGGCAAAACATCTATCAAGCTTCTTTGAGATGCATGGACCTTTTGGGCTAGATTATATTCCATTTCCTTTCAAGTAACACATCCGCGCAGCAATATATTTATTGATATGAAATACTTTGACACCACCTGAATGAACTAGAACTTCTCTCACCTCAATACGCTCTTCATCTCTGATGAATGTTTACAGGCTTCCCTGCCACCGTGATGCCCTGAAACTTTCGGCTGGTTCTCTCCCCTGAGATTATTTTCAAAGAAACCTGGAGATGTTTTTTTTTCTGTTACGTCATATTTTTATTTAACACACAACCTAATATGTACAAACAGGCGTCTGACCTGTGAGCGTTCTATTCCTTGCGCTCGTGAAATTAAAAGCATCCAACATGTGCTCTGTTATCAGCACAATGCAGAGATGTGAATATTAAGTCATTCCTTGTAGTGCAGGAAAAGCTGCAGCCTCTTGCGGTGCTCTGCCGACATGTGAACGGCGCTGAAGGAGTGCAAGAATAAAATGTTAGTATGTATGCCCATTGACCGCGGCGCACTGACAAAAGAGTGACTCACTTGAGGTGATCTCCAAAAGTGGTGGTGATTCGATAGATGGCCGTCTTGAGCGCGGCCCTGAGAGCGAAACGCAGCGTTTTGTAGGCAGGCTCGCCCATGCCGCCTGCCGTCCGCATGGGCTTCGTGGAAGCATGAGGCAGCTTGAAGTGTCGGTCCACTGCCTGTGGACAAACCATATTTGTTTACTTCGGTTTTGTTTTGGTAAATTTCATGAAATACGTTTTCCCCCGGTCTTTCCACTTGAATGACCGTAAGCAATGCTGAAATAGTAATGCAAAATAAGGATCAAGAAAATCCAAGTCCTGGTCTAGTCACTACAGTATAACTCTGACCTCTTGCAGGAGCAGCATTGTGCTAAGGATGCTGGGTAACGCCGTCTGCACCACGCCAAAGTGGTCCTCTGAGAAGGAGGCTTGAACCAGGTAGGACAGTCCTGGAAAGCATTCACGTGGTTAACCTCACGTGTTGAAGGGGAAGAGAAAACTTCTTTTGTTTACCCTCCAATGCCCAAATGTGGGCCTGGCTGCCGGCAAAGAGCGCTTCACTGGAGGCTTCTGGAAGCTGCAAAACAGAGAAAACGTTAGGCCGCATTCGCATGAAATGTAGTCTAGTGTTTTGTAGTGAGCTCACCTTGTTGAACAAATACGCGATCAGCACACGCTTGGACAGGAAGCTTTTAACCTGAATGGGGTAAAGTTGGTGATTAAATGAAGATGTCATGGGTTCTTAAGCATGAAAGGCCAGAGCAGCCAATTTGCGTTTGACAAAATAACAAGTACAGTTTTATAGATTACAGCGGCCGTAAACTACATGTCCCATACTGCATATGTCATCGACGTGCTGCTTTATCAATGTCTCAAATAGTGGCCTGCACTCCCAATTTTCCGTCCGTGCCTCAATATTTCACTGGATCAGTCTGTCACTTGCAACAAAAGTAAATGCCTCTCCTCTAATATTAATCGCCATCTTCCTCCCCTGTACCAAACCCATCGAAGCACTTTTCTTCGGTGCATACCTGTTCTTTCCTGTTGTGGAGGAACTGGGCCAAAAGACCGGGTTGGTCGGCAACCTGCTTGGGACTGAGCAGTGGGGCGGCGGACAGCAGTGGGCTGCCGCTAGACTGTGAATCTGTACGGAGACGGTGGACAATTGACTACAACTTAACCATAGGCTTCCACAAGTACATCCCTTTACCTGTGGGGGTGGACCACAATTTGGGGGCCCTCCTCATAATGTGGGGGCTCTGCACGGTGCCATGCCATGGCGAGCCCTGGTATACGGATGTGGCGAGACGTCGCAGGTTCGGTGAGGAGAAGTAGCTGTCCTGGTAGGGTGGGGTGAACGGCGCCGTCAAGTGTCTTGGCTGCGTGCTGCCGAAGACGCAATCTGGACTTTGGATCGGGACGTTTCTGGCCATTGGACTCTTCTGATCCTCTGCACCAGAGATTGCTTTCAAAGTTCAAAAAGATGACAGGCTCAAATGTTTAAAGAGTCCACCAGATAGCCAAAAAAAACTACAAGTACGAAGAAGTAAAAAAATCCTGGAACTGCACTGCACGTGCAAAGTAGTCAAGTTTCCTGGAACTACACGTACAAGGACGCAAAAGTCTGTGGAAATTCATGAATGACTAATTCAATGTCTCTGGAGTTACGAGTACAAATTGTGGACTTGTAAGAACCAAACCAAAAAAGCCTCTGAAGCTATGAGAGGCAAGAAGTAAGTCTTGTGCACTATAAGCAATTTCAATAATAATGGGTGAAAATCCCCAAAATGAGTATTATAATATGCCTATTTCAGGCTTAAGGAGTTCTTTCGCGAAATGAGATCATTTACCTGAAGACGAGTCCGACGTGGACTTCAGTTCGCCACTTCCCGACGAAAGCGACTTGGCCCTGCCGTTGGTGGCCACGCTGTCGTGGTAAGCGATCAGTCGCTGGGTCAGGTCCGCCAGAAGCGATTGACACTCCTTGCTAATGGCATTCCAGTTGTGAGGATGTCCACCTGGTGGAGAGAGAGTGAAGGGCCGTCATTTGAATGGCTTTATGGTACGTTTAAATATAAATACGCATACCTGGCTGACTTAGGCTGAACACCTCGCCACGTCGCCATGGCGAGTGCTGAGAGAACAGAGCCAAGTCTTGTAGGGCTAGGAACTGTTGGGCGCAGAGACTTCAATTAAACTTCCAAATATCCTATAGAGCCTGAGGAGGAATGCTGAAGGGCTACCTTTAATATTCCTGGCTTTGGGTCAGACAGAACTCTGGGAAGACACTGGTGCACGTCCTCTGTGAAAGATGACTGTATTGGGAAACTGTAGTCCTGTATATATGGAGGAAAATAAAAGTGTGATCCATGTCATTTCCGCTCAATCATGATAGCGATTAAGGCACAACATATGGCGACACTTCCCTACATATGTATATTTACCTCTATTGCCCCCACTGCCAAATGATGTGATAATGTAGTAACTAGAAAGAGTGTATGGACACACGCATACACACACACACCTCCGTGATAAAAATCCTGAAGAGCAGCAAGGCCATGTACCAAGTGAAGAGTAGAAAGGTGGCACTGGTCCACAGATGGTAGAGCAGGGTCAAGTCCAGAAGCCCGCTGATGGTGTCCAGACGGTGAGTGGAACTGGAAGGGAAAAGGGAATACTTGTGAATTTAATAGGCACATGTGAGGAAGGATGTTCAGGAAATACACCGACCTGTTTAAGTGAAGGTTGAACATTTTACAGATCCACTCTCTTGGGATGTATCCTGTCAACACAAAGAAGAATAAGGCAGTGTATTACTTCATATGGAGCAGTGGTGCTCAACTTTTTTTTTTAAGGGGGGTGACGTGGACCACTTGCATCTCTTTCATTAGAATAACTGCCAGTTGCAATTCTCAATGAATTACACTTAGTGCCACAATACAACGCTCGCAAGTTTTGTGGTTGCATGTCAAAGCAAGAAAATCAGCCAAATATTGACTTGTATCTTAAAAAGATCTGAAGTGGAGTCTTACGTATCTCAAAGCACCAGTATATCTCGACTTTGAAATCCTTTTAGGTCAATTTTGGTACTCAAAGAAATTAATTTGTAAACTCACGGAGGAAAGAAACATAACATACCCAAGAAGAAATACACTAGAATGTAGTTCCTGATCGAGTAAAGTGCTTGGGCAGCACTGCACTTCACCACCAGCGGCAAGGACTCCTTAAAACGAAGGTACTTGTATTGCTGAGGAGGGAAGGAAGGGTTCAAACAGTGAATACAACCTCACTCAACAGACGTATTCAACAGTACACGTACCTGAACGGTGGGGAAAAACACATAGTTCATGTTGTGGACGACACCAAACAGGTTGTGGGAGAAGCCCACGAAAGCTCCCGCCAGCAGGAGGATGAGATGGTACTCGTTCAGACACATCTGAGGGGGACTGTAAGACAGTGATTAGAACACGCGTTAGCAATTAGGGAATCAAAAACACTGCGCTAGAGCAGACTTACGCGTCTTCGACGCCGCAGGGGTAAGTGTGCATCTCGTAACGGCCCCCAATGGTGACAGCAGCCCACCAGGCCACCATGATGCCCATGAAGCAGTGGAGCAAGGAGTTGGCCACGTGACGCGGATGCAGCAGGTGACCCAACAGAGCGATTTTGGAGCAGGCAACGGTAGGGATGACTAGCAGGAAGCGAAAGACAAATCAACAGGACAATCATTTTGTGAAAAACTGAAACGGAAGCAATCACAAGGGGAATATTTCATTCACACTGTGATTTGAACGCCACTCACCCGTATAATATACAAAGATCAGGAAGCCCACCATGGTGGTGACGCTGCACAACAGGACAAAGGACAAAATGCCGCTGGCGCTTGTCATGACGGACAAACATTCTGTATAGGGAAGACATTTTGATTTGGAAGCACGTTGAGTGATCAGATTGAATACAAAATTGTGACCGACTGACCTGATAGAGTCTGGATTGGGAAGAGAAGACTGAATTTGCTGAGGATGACAAAAACTGCCGTGGTTGGTGGCAACAACAAGACAGCCCAGGCTATGCTGGCTGCAGCCCTCCAGCAAATCACCTACGGACAAGGTAAGCCAAAGTATGTACACGTTCACATTTATTCATTTTATTGCATTTCCACTTATTCTGTTATCATTTCACTAAATACTCCATGGTGAATTCTTTAAAGTTTTAGTAGTAACAAGGGTTGTGGTTCTATAATCGGGTTTCAAGGTGTGTTTAGGATGTATAGGTTTCGTCTCAAAGTGAGATTTCATGACAGGATTAATATTTCAAAACAGTGTTTTAAGACAGGGTTAGGGTTTCAAAACAGGGTTAGATATTCAAACAAGGGATTCATGTTCAAAATCGAGTTTCCAGAACAGTGGTCGGACTTTAAATGACAAAACTACTTGCGTGGTTTGGTTGCAATACTCTTGCGCCCGTATACACACGTACAGTAGCTGCTCCTATAGGCTATCATGCTAACTAACGCCGGTCGAATATTGGGGGTGAGGGGGGGGCGACTTTTAAGTGACAGAGACTCACCTTGCGGACAAACCAACAATTTTGGTCCGCAGAAAACATAGCGCAGAGCGTAAATTATTACTTCTTTCTTCGTCAAAACTTCCAACTTGCCATCATGCCGCGCCACTTTCGTTCAAAGGACCTCCAGCAGGACCGGCGCTCCAAGACGGTCTCCGCATATGTGCCTGTTTTAAAATGACGTTTATATGTTTTGTAGACAATCTGTCTTTTGTAACTAAGGATGACTTTGAGTTGTGTTGAAATCATTTTTGAGGAAATGCGTATTGGTTGAAACACAACGTCACATTTTGAGATATTTCTTCAACAATTTGCATAAGGCATCTCGAATAGTGCTCTTTAAATCATGAGCCCATTTACTTCTAATCGAGACAATTACACATATTTATCAACCCTCCTATTATCCCGAAATTTAACACATTTTACCCATGAGATCAATTTGATCCCAGAGATACTTTGCGCCATAAAATGATGGACATGAATTTGCTGACGCAATTTTTGTATCAGGCACGTTCTTTTATTTGTTGATGACATAAATACCCCCTTGAGAGTCAAACTTCTCAGCGGGTTGACTTGTGATCTAGCGCCACCATCAAGCCAAAGTTTCAAATTGGTAATAATTAGTTGTGATACCCTTGACTTTTCAAAGCAATAAGCTTGTGATTTATAGACAAAATGCATTTGCCACTAATCATTCCTGGATTGGGAATATGTTGCTTCTCTAAATTACTATAATAGATATGAATTATTTGTGTAGCCCTTTACTTTCATCATACATCAAAGACTTGTTATCCTGATAAGTGGTAAAGCTCTGTCTATCAAATGTGGTCTTTGTATGGCCACTCTTGGTCTCAAAGGCGTTGACCGGTAGCTTTTGGGAAGCACTGATGGACATGTCCGTCTGAATGGCCTTCTGGGTAAAAGTGGGTTTTTGCTCAGGCTTGAACATGATGGCAGGCAGGGCTTGCTGCTCCTGCTGTACCCTCTTGACCTCCCACAGCTTGAGCAGACGGCGCTGGTTGTTGGTCATATCCTTGAGGTTCTGCTGCAGAGACTGGACCTGCTCCTCCAGCAGGATCTTGGACGTTACGGTGTTGGCCAGGTCGGCTGTCAATTCGTCCACAGTCAGGCCGAGCTTGGCCGCCTTGTCTATCAAGGCGTCGCACTCGCGCACCTTCTCGTGCAGGTCGTTGACAATGTCCTTGGTGGTCTTTCCATGGAACTTGGGGCTGCACTCCAAGCCGATCTCCGTGCGCAGGGCCTTGACTTGCTTCTTCAACTCCTTGTTGACTGCCAGCAGGGTCTTGAGCTTCTGTTTCAGGGCTTCAGTGGAGCGCAGCCTGGACTCAAACTGCCGGAGTTTGTCCCGCAAGATTCCCTCTCGGTGGACGGCGTCGTCCCGCTCCTTTTGACACTTCTCCAGGAGTTTTAAGGTCTCAAACTTGGATACTGTGTCACTTTTGGCAGTGGCCATCGTACCCCAAATCCCCCTTTATAAAGTCATTGTTTGATGCCTTACAAAAACTCCTCAAGTGGCTACCTGCGAGCTCGACACTGAAGCGGGTGACATTGCTCTCACAGGGTTTGTGCCGAGCTCTCGTGTGTAACCCAAGGCGGGTGGCTAAAATGACCTGTAATTAGACCTCCAGCTACCACCGCTGATGACGTTTCCAGTGACGCCATTTTTTTTTCTCTCCATTTGCTTAATGACCCCCAGAGACATACAAATCCCCCCCCCGGCCCCCATAAAAAGGAGTCCCATGGCTTGGTGTTCATATGACTTAGTGTTTATTTGATGCGACTGTCCATATCACCACTTACTAAAACAAGAAGTCACAATGATAGAAGTTTTGTGTAACTTCTCATTTATACATTGAATATTTCTGTAAAACAAGTACACATTTTTTTATCAAATGTAGCCTGTCGATCAGCAAACATGAATTATTAAATAAAAGATGGTAGCATTTTTCGAAATTTACAATTTTTTTTTTGTGCAAACGTGATGTATTAGGGCCACACTGAAAAGAACGAAAAAGAAATAGAATGAGGTAAAAAAAAAGTTCAATTTTGAGAAAACATTTTTTCTCAATGATTATAACCTTATTCACATTTGATGACTTTATTCTAGTCCAATTCTTCATTTTTGAAAATGTACAACTTTTTCGTCATATAACTTTCACCTTGTAAAAGTATGATTTCCTGAATTCCTGTACAAAATTAGGACTTAATTATTCGTAATTATTCTGGCATATGAGAATGAAAATAAAGTTGCATATTTAAGAAAAAAACCCATCATATTATTACATGACCAACGTTTTAACATGAGAAGGAGAAAGTTTTCATTTTAAAGACAAGAAAAAAAATTCCGACCCTGTTCTCGGAAAATTCTGACTTATTCTCAGTTCAATCTATTATGTTATTATTATATTTTTATGCCATGATCATTCATAAAACATTTTTCCCCCACATTGCTTTTTCCCTTCATAAGCTCTTTTCTTTTTTAAAATTTATATTTGTTGTCGCTTCAGTGTGGCACTAATAGCTTCCGTACTTTTGTCGACATTATTAAGTAGGAAAGAAAATGAAGTACAATCCTGTGGCGTGCTGTCCGAATCCCACTACCTGAATATTCAATAACAGCATCCAAAATGCCTTCGATGCCATTCAAACACCTGTAAGATTGGTCGTGTTTTGGCGATAAACAGAAATCCATAGTGCAACACCTCACCGATCCCGTTAGAAAGAACATACTTGGTAGCAGCGCACCAAGCGCACCCCCCGACAGTGAGGTGAAATCCAGACGGCCCATGACTTCATCGCCACACTGCAACCCGATTCTCTCTAATAAGGCAACAGGAGACGCTGCAATTTTTGAGAGGCAAAAGAAGAAAATAAAACACGGTATACACTTGCTTTAGCAAGGAGAAATAATGTCGGGGAAGTGCGGTGTCGGATGTTGTCGGTGTTCAAATACCAAGACGTGGCATAGTAGGCCACGTGGCATAAAAAAAGGGTAAAATAAATACATAAATAACGTGAAACGTTGGCTCTACCTTTCAACAACTCCTCATGTCGTGTGCGGGAGGACCACTGCTGTCGTCGACAGATTGGCGGGCGGTGGCACCAGTTCGGCTTTGCTGAAGAAATAGGCCTAAAAATGGAGGGCAACAGCAGAGAGACAAAAAGCCTTACAGACATGGCGATTAACTGGGCAGATCTATTACGGAGATGTGAGCGAATAAGCGACCCTCCGACCCCGCCACGTTTGGCCTCGGCAGCGGCCGCTCACATAGCGCGCGAGCATGGGAGTGACCTGAAGCAGCACTGAGTGTAGATCTCGACCGTTACGTTAACTTTTGTGCTCGCTGCTGGATAGCTGGCTATTATGTAACTGCAGTTAATGTGACAAAATACAATTTAATGACGCTCATTATGACTCTTAAATTGTAATTGTGCATTTAAAGCCGCACTCCGAGTTCAGTGGGAGGTTTGGATGACAAGCGGCGAGAAATCTTTTTACCAAAACTGACCACATGCGAAGAGCAACTACTGCTGAAATCTGCCAAGTGCATCCTGACAGTGTTATGCAGTGTCATAAAAATCCACAATTACCAACAGGTATTGAAAGACTGCGCTGCTGTGGCATGAAGAGCATCGGCAAAGTTGCCACGTGACATAAGTTACAGCGACGATGAGAGACTGACAAAGTGTGTCACGAAGGAAATCTGGAGCGTTTACTTTGCAGCCGACGGCGAGCAGGACGTTGAGCACCACAATGGCCGACATAACCGCCGCGATCATTCTGGGCTTGTCGTCGCGGACGGCGGGCCAGAAGGTGATGATCAGGACAGAGCCGGAAAGGCAGAGCGCCACCCCGATGGAGAGCCACCGCAGCCACTCGTACGGGAAAATCCACAGAACCTTGTGTGGGGAAGGACAGCAAGTTAGCAAATCATCGCAAAGAGAAGATACTGTATAGGGCTGGCAAGACAAGAGAAAAAAAAGACAATTTTACAACACACATTGCTATTTTTGAACAAGACAGAAAAGCATTTAGACGAAAAACTTACCACAGCAGGAATGTATACGGAAAGTGAGTATCCATACACGCAGACTATCTCCATGAAGGAATAAGACACCAAGTTCATGATCTTGTTGTTCCTCCACAGTAGGAAACCCCACATGGCGAGAGGGACCAGCCAAGCGTAGCTGAAAATGGCTGTCGCAGCTATGGTGACTGGGATGGAAAATAACGAACCTTTAAAGCTCAGAGAACATACATTTCAGCAAGTACAGACAACTATAAATCTGCTTAGGCTTTGGTCAAGCTTTTGACCTTGTGGAGTTAAGTTACCAGAGTTTTTTTTTTTTTTTAATGGGTCACCAACTTGGCTGACATGTCCACCCTTGTGCATTGAATTATTAATTGCTCAATTTTCCCTCGCATAGAGAATCAACTCGTTATGTATCAGAAATAATAATAATTCACTTTTTAAATGACGCATTTTTGCGGCGCTGACCTTTTCCAAACTCAGGTGTGTACTTGTAGTTTGGCTTGCCCAGGTTCACCAGGAAGGTGGAGATGTTTCCACTGATGGCCATTGCAAACACGAGCGTGGTGCAGATCCAGAACGGTCCTGAGTGGAGGCACGAGTGTATTAAAGTTTCAGCTCGATACAAACTGTAAATGTTTTAAGAACTTCTCAATGGAAAAATAAATGTGTCTCTGCGTGCTCACCATAGAGATCGGGATTCCTGCGAAGGTACACGTGAATGAAGTTCTTGCCCGGCCAAGGCAGCACCGAGCCAACAATTCTTTCCGTTACCTGAAACAAAAATGTCACATCATCACACATCACGTAAGCGGGCCATAAATGACCCAACTTTTAGTGAACAATTGAGTCCATGTGCTTGTGCTGTTGCTTTTTTTTTTGGCAGCTTCCTACTTCTTGTTTTTTGTTGCCACGGTAGCCTCAGTGAGCGTCAACATAAACCAACCTTTTGTGTGTAAAGGACCTTATATCAGGCTTATCCGTGACTGGTGTTGTGCATTGAGTTTGTTGGTTGATGCCATTTCTGCTTTTATTTTGAAAGATTTTTTTTTTTTTACTTCCCATTTTTGTTTCCATTCTCGTTTCTATTCATCTACTCTCCATTTGTATGGCTTTTACTTACTTTAGTACGTTACCTTTCTCATTCACATTGACTTGATAGGACTTCCAAGGCCAGCCTTTTTAGAACAAGGGTCTTTGATTTGGATCTTCTGTGACTGAGGTGTTGCATTTGACTCTGTGTGGTCTGTGACTTACAATACAATACATATTTATTCCTAGAGCGCGTTCACAACAGCTGTAGCTGTAATGAAGAACTTTACAGATCGTTTAACAGAAAATGTATTATAACTTTTTGTTTTGGTTAACATTCTCGGCTTGTATTGTATTTCAGACTGTCTCGCCTGTCGAAAACCATTCAGGCTATGTTGCACTTTCAATTCAAATATTTGTGCTTTGTTTTATATCAAACAATGGTTTTTTTGGTGATTTTAATTACAATTAAATAAAGTCAGACTTACGTGGTGTGTGTCGACGTCGAAAAACTGTTGATAGTACTGAAAGGTCCAGAAGGGGATGCTTTTCTTCTCCCCTGACAGAAGCTTGAAGGTAAAATAAATAAATCATTTCAAAGGAAAAATGATTTAAAAGCTCCCAACAACATGTTAGCCACAAATGCATATCATAACCATCTTGCCTCAGCTTTGTCATCTTCAGCCGTGGGGTCTTCATCACCACTGGGAGCAAACCCAGTGGGGAACTTTGGGTTCATAATATCATCCTCGATGCTGATGGTAGTCGACTCGCTAGCAGCTGCTAGCAGATTGCTCTCTTCAAATTCTTGAATCGTGACGTTAAAAAAACAAAATAAAATAAAAACACAAGTTCAGTTACACTGGTGGAAGGTCGTGCATTTGTTACCTAGACAGTTCACAATCAATACTAACCTAAAAACATGACAAAAACATAATACGGCACATTTTCATAAAATACATCATACCACAGATGCTGATTGTTAAATGTATCAACGTAAGCTCATAGTTTACAGATGTGTGTAAAATTATCTGTCATTAGCTTTAGTAACTTTGGATATCAAAAGTGCCAGTGGTATCGGTGCTGGTCGCCGTGACGACTCAATAGTTAAGTACTTATTTTATAATTATTATATATTATATTATATTATTAACGTTTGTCACCACGAAACTCCACAACCAGATAATGCAGTGCCATTTTGGAACAATTGAGTGAAAATTTGACGTCACCCACCTTGAAATTGAAATGGGTCGTTTGTAGACGCCATCTATGCCAACCAGTTGGACAGAAAGTTGTCAGTTTATCAGTTGAAGTGAAACAGGAGCTGTGGTTTTACTCTTGGGAAGCTGTGAGAAAATTAAAAACAATACACGGTTAAGAGGCGTTCTCCATATCAAGCGACAAAGAAGCACTCGCAAACAAGCCAGCGTCACAGCTTGGCTACTTGTTAGCATGTCCACATGCCGGAAACGAGGATGCTACGTTATATACGCATGTTGGAACAAATAATCAATACTATTCCTTCGTGTATGAGAAAACCTCGAGTTCAAATTTGACCACAAGCGTAAAAGAAATGCTCACTTCTACCATGCAAGATCCAAAAATCATGTCGCGACTGCTAGCCTACGTTGACGGAAGCTGGATCCGGATGTGTCAGCTTTGTAAACAGACTGGCTTCTTGTCTGTCGTTTTTCAAAACAATAAGAGATGTTTTAATCGTTACAGTAGTACAATACAAGTTTAACGAAAAGCTAATACGATAGAGTCATTTATATCAGCCAGTACTATTTAATATAATTGATTACCCCATTACCATGATAAAATGACGTATTTTTCCGTCAATAACCTTTATTTTGACAGCACGAATTGAAAGTGACATCCGGGAAAACTGGACAGACAAGATGTGTGTACTGTATTCGGGTCATTCCAACGAAAACTTTAATCAAGTAAATAAATCAGACTGCAACTTCAGATTTAGCGAAAGGCTAATTAGGGTGTGTATATTACGTCGTAGCCGGACAAAGACACATTAAGTGTCGTGTTTGGCGTGTGCTCACATAAAACGTGATGTTTCTTGTCAAAGGGGCTTTTATTTTGACACCAGCAAAAGCAATTCACTGAAATCCCAGTCAAGTCGAATGTAGGTTCTGGCTTGGTTTTTGAGAGGAACAGAAACACATGAACTTAATGGTGTTGTGAGAGTCGACACCACAAATGGACGCCAGCGGCGTGTACGTGCGGGAAAGAGGCAAGCTGCATCGTGTCAGCGACATCGTGCTCAAGCCTGTGGTGGGATTTTCCTCGTCTTCGTCGTCTACCTGTCGGCGGACCAACCCACTGGTGCTGCGTAAGGAGCACTTCGTGTTTACGTACAACGCGGAGGGCAGTCTGCGCTACAGCAGCAAGTCGCTGTTCGACATCGCGTTGCTCTTCGTGGCGGGCAACGTGCAGCACGTGGACTCGCTGGTGGGCTTCCCCGAGCAGATCGGCGACAGGCTGTTCGCGGCGGCAGAGGAGAACCGCGTGTTCCTGAAGCCGGACGTCTCCCCCAGAGCCCTGCGGCTCTTCAGCGACGCCTATGGGGAAATGGTGCTCGGCTCCCTCTGCCTCAGGAACAGGTGTGTTGCAATGCCACCCACCGGTCCGTTGTGTCGTTATCGGTACACTTGCAATCTAAACTAATACGAGTTTGATTTTAGTTCAGTGACCACGCTCGCAACTCGAAACACTCGCCTCACAAATCGTCTTTCCCCACTGAAATGAATAGAAATGCTATCAATCCGTTCCAGCATCCCAGAAAAAAAAAACTAAATTGTTTGTTTTTAATAAGGTAAAGTTGCACTCTACAGTATAGTGTTAAAAAATAGGACATTCTTTCATATTGACAGTGCATAACACACATGCACACAAAGTTAGATTTTATATTCAAAATGTTTTTTTTTTAAAGCCCACAAAAATGTTTTCTTAAAGGCTTAAGATATTAATACAACACAAAGACACTAAATATAAAATAATCATTGAAACGTATCATTTTATATCATGAATATACAGGGTTATTGCAGGTTTTGGCAGGGCCACTACAACATGGTGGCCTGACAGGGCCACCACTCAAAGCCTTAATGTAGGACCCAGATTTTGTTATTTTGATAGTTCCCATAGGTGAGAGCTGTTTGTAATATTTTGACTCCCCCTCGTATATCTTAAAAAGGTGACGTGATGTGATCCGTGTGGTGTCCTGCAGGTTTCCTCTATTGAGCGAACGTATCGCTGACATCAAGACCTTCCACAGTTTGAAACGTTTAGACCTGTTTGGCTGCCGGCTGGGCGACAACCACGAGATATTCCAGCACCTGACATCCGCCTCTCTGGCGAGGTGATGATCTACTCTGGGGTCAATGTTGAAAGACTCACCCGTGCCCTTAGTTTTTGTTTTCTCCTCTTGTAGCTGCTTGATTCAGCTCTTCATTGGCGGCAACGGCCTGTCAGACGCTGGCCTGCAACGACTGACGGCACCAGTGAGAATGATGAGGAAAGGACTGGACTGTCTTCAGTGCCTGGATGTTTCACGCAAGTTAACATTTTGCCGATTTTGAAAAGCATGGAAAGAAACAGTTGTGTTACTAAATAACTACATTTGCATGTGAGGTTCAGATTTTGTCCATTTGGGGTCGAGAGCGTCAAGTCATTGTGATTTTTGATTGTGTGTGGCTTTACAAGGTGATGCCTAGCAAGATGAGTGATGTGGGAGTCAGTGAATTAGAGTGTAGCCTTGGCTGCGATGTGTTCAGGTTAGCAGCTGGCCGTTAACTGGCTAAACTTTAGCCAAACTTTGTGCTGATTTAATGCTTGGGTGTCCGCTATGGCCGTCGCAGCGTGTGCATGCACATTTTTATTTTTCAATCACGCGATTCAAAGTGCACCGGCGATTGCATTGTTAATTGTCCTATTTTGTGTAAAATGTAGTCAACAGTCTTCTTAACTTTTGATAAATGTCAGCAGCACATGTTGATGGCAGAGTCTAGAATCAGCTTGCTTAATGTAACTTCTGTGTATATTGTTCTTCTCATAGTCCAAATAAAAAGATAATAAGACACTGAAAATGGTTTCTCTCATCCAGATAACCCCCTTTCGGAGAGGGCTCTCCGCTACCTGAAGTGTCTCCCTAAACTTGACAAACTGGATGTATCTGGCACCAGCGTGAAGGTGCTTGAGGCACACACAGTTGGCTCTTATTTGCACTTAGCCTAATAATATTCAACAAAAAAAAGTAATTGTTGTTGTTTGCAGTTTGGCTCAAGACTGAAGTTGAGCATGTGGGAGCTGCTGGGCCTGACTTATTCCGAGAACGCGCTGGACGCCTTTGACCACTCTGAATGTAAAACACAAGGATGGGCGGAACAGGTGACACAGTTGTTTGTTTTTCTGACTTGCTGCTTGTTGTGTGTGACATCTTATGTACACAAATGTGTGGTCATCAGGTTGTAAACCAGTGGGAAACCAATGGAGCGCAAATGCCGAAACAGAAGAAACTTGATGAGTCCAGAATATCAGCACTTCGCTTTTGTACGTGTTTGCCAGGCGCCTTTCGGGGTGTGCGAAATCTCCCGTACATTTGATTCTGTCATTTATGCACCTTCTTGCAACATGTGTACTCTGGGTTTTGATTTTGTACAATAATTGTATTACATTTAACTTTTTACATGGCAAAAATATTCTTCAGTTACTTTTTTTCTCTCCTTTGGATTGTAAACTACAAAGTCACAACCAAATGCACGAAGAAACAATCAATTTAAAAAGTACCATACCATAAATAATTTGTTTTTATTACGTTCTTAAGTTGGCAGGCAGAAGTTTGTCCAGGAGGTGTTGAACGCGGCACCATTGTGTCGCAACAGAGATGCAACAGCCGAGGAGCAACGTCTGCACTTCTACAAACCTCCAGCGGGTAGCACCACAGACGGCACCACCCCTGACAGAACTTGTTGGAACGCAAGCGGCAAAAGGAAGCAACCGTCGGAAAAGCGCAGTGACCGTTCGACGGCCAGTCCGCCGATGAAACGTGCCTCATTGTCAGTGTTTAACGCTGACGACATGGATTTGTTGGACCAATACTGAGATGCATCAGCACGACGATTATACAGTCGTTTTGTTGAGTAACGTTTTCTTAATAAAGTTATTTTGTACGCATGTTGTTTTATGCAGTTTGTTTTTCAACTGGAAGGTAGACCACAAGAATTCAATTAAGAGCAAATCGTTTTTATTGTTAAACTCTGCCAACTGCAGATTACGGCAGTCAGCAAGAACAACAGGGAGTTAGTTTGGCTACCGCATTGCATGTCATTTCAAAAAAGTTTTCAGTGTCTGGATGAAATCACCTCAAAAGAAGTCACAGCCGAAAATAAAAATAAGCACAGTCACCAAGCGCGAACAGAAATTAGGGCAGGGGGCGGGCTGGTTGGTGATCAAAACAATTAGTTCTGTAGTACTGGCATGACAGTACCATCATGCAACCATTTGAAAAGCATTGTAAGGGGCATGAGGAATTAATTAAGAGAAATATTTTATTTCTCTTACAATGCAAGCACACGTGGAGTCAAAAGTTGTTACCTCACCACACTTTTTGTTTTTTTTTTTTTACACATCTGACTGGCCAATATTTACTTTGGAAGGAAGGGGCCCCGCCTCCTCGCTAACTTCTCCATGCCCTTTGGAGGTGATGATGAACAGGGAGGACGGCGAGTACGGAATGAGCTTCTGCTCTGCGAAGAAATCCCTGTCACCGTAGATGCTCAATTTCTGAAAAATAAAATACAATCGGTAATACCTGGACAGTCAAACACAAAAATGCTAAAGAAAGACTTGCAAGGAGAAGGTGCTTTATCGGAGGACATCATCTCGCCTCAGCTCAACCGAGAATATTCATTTGAAATACCAGTAAGTTAAGTTACAAGCATGGCATGGCATAGTCGTGTAACAAATTAAACTCTTAAGTCAAGGCACCACTGCACAGTATATTGTGTGCCATTTCTCTGCAAAGTGTGAAAGATTGTGGAGCGCATACTGGTTAATGGGCTACAATCCCCAAAGGCCTCGCAGCAACTGACCTCAGCGGGCACATACTGGTCCACGGCGGTGGCCACGGTGGCACAGCAGATCCAGATGAGGACCACTACAGACAGTACCAAGGTGGTGGTGAAAATCCAGCCTGGCAGCCAAGGGTTCCTGAGGAGCAAATGTTTCAACTTGCGTTGTGCCGTATGAAAAAACAAAGACTCGTTTTCCTTTTTTCCCCCCCATCAACTGGTATAGGAATTTGCATTTCTCGCTGTCACTGTGGGTGCTGCTATTGTGCATAACAAAGCGTTCCAATAGCAGTGTTGCCGTGATGCAATTTAGTGGCATTTTGGTGTGTACGAATTATGTTGAAGTGTAGTGAGGAGTTCCAATTTGACATAAGTAATGCTTTGCCATTATCTTGTGGCCTCCGTAGGCAATTAAAAACCTTTTGGGATCGGTCAATTACTTTAATTTTAGTGTGCGATTGTATAAAATTATTCAACACTTAACGGTTCACTTGGTATTTAAGTGTGCTATTAAACCTTGAGAGGCAGCTGAAGAAGTTGTAATCATCAGCGCTGCGGTCAGCGCTCATGTCGCGATCCCGCTCTTGGATGAGCGTACGCTCGTAGTCTTTGTAGACGGGGCTGTTCACATCAGAGACTTCAAAGGATACGCCCCAAAAAACAAACAAAGACCATCACATGAAAGTCAGACTCTATATTATTTCTTGTGACAAATGTGTGCTTACGTGTCTTTTGCACTTCGGGGGAGTCATCCTCTTTCTCTGTTTCAAACTGAGAGAAAACCAGAATTGATTCAGTCTGACAAGCAGAACACACATGTATACACTATCACATATTGTTGACAAGCAGTCACAGGTTTTGTTTAGTTTTTTTTTTTCCCCATATAGTGTCACACACCTGGAAAATGACTACTTTGCCGTTGTCGGCCTGGAGATAAAGGGTCCATGTTGAGGTGATGATGCTGTGCGCCTGACTCATCATGTCCTCCCAGAAGTCCCGCACAAACATCAGCGGGTGCAGCAGGTGAATCCTCGGCACCATTGCTTCAAGCTAAATGGAACAAGCATGAGAGAGCACAGCCCTCAAATTCACCCATTCGTGTTTTGCCTTTAAGTGGCTTTGCCGAGCGAGTGCCGAGAATCTCTTGTGTTAGCTCACACTTCTCTTTCAGGTTACATTCCAAGTACTGAACGTCATCTTATTCGGACAATCGCTTGCACTTTTCAATTTCTCGGGAGCCAGTAGTCGGAGGCATGTTAAGAGTGAATTTGTTCACTCAACGGGTTGGACTGACATTCTTGAATATTAAGCGTACTCAATATTTACGACCTAAAATCTGAGCGTGTGGGGAAAGCTGCAGACTCTCCGAGTGATTACTCCGTGAATGGTGTCGTGATACGGAATGTAGCTCATCAAGAAATTACCCAAGGAACAAGGAAGCAGACATAAAAAAAACAAAAATGCCTGAACCATAATTATAGGGCCACAACACTAGTCCTTCGCTTCATTTGAGAAAATGCCTCAAGCCCGCTCAGTCAACTATAAAGTCTGGTTATATATAAATATGTATATACGTATTTTGTGCATTTGTGTCTATGGCCAAAATGTACATTTCGTGTCATTGTGTCTTTAATCGCTATAATACAGTGAATCCAACTACTAGAGACAAATTCTGTTTGTGTTTTAACGTACTTGACCAATGAAGATGACATTGATTCTGAGTGGAAGGTCCGTATTCGGACAGACATATGGTGCGCACCTGTTCATTGCGTTGCTCAGCAAAAGGAAGCTGGTTGTGGCAGCCAAGGTTGCACGCGTACTGCTCGTTAACTTGGGTGTAGGCTTCTTGACAGGCTGTAATAGATAGTTTAAAAAGGATTCGGGACAGACAACAAAGGATATGTCAACAAAAATGTCAGAATAAATGAAAGATTCGGCCCCATTTTTGTGTGGTATTTACCCTTGTTTTTTTTTTTTTTTTTTTTTTTAAACACAGCAAGCATCGAGTGACTCTCTTTCATTGTAGAAATATGTAAACACCCTCCCCTCCTTCAATGTATAAGTACCGGTTCCAGGTGAATGTAAATCCACTGACACCTGAGTAAACGTCGGCCATTTTATTACTTACTTGACTGACAGTCGGCCGTGGTATGATTCAAGTCTTTACTGTCACGAACAAACTGGCAAATAGAGAACAACCGACAGCCTCGCTGACAAGCGTAGAGTTCCTCTTCCTAGGAATGCACACACACATAAACAAAAACCACCACAAAGGTCCATTAAACACGCACTACAAGGCATGACATATTTAAAAACAAGCAGTAAGCTAAATGCACTGCCGAAGCTAAAGCTAGTCAACTATGTAGCGACTACTCACTTGAGGGTACGTGTGTAAAGTATACGTCATTTCACAAGAGCGATGGCAAGACAGCGTGCTTCCCAAAACGCTGTCGAACACGTCCGATGACGCCCCGGCCAAAACCCCAAAGAACCCCAAAAAGCATACGAACCCGTACACAACCCCCATTTTTGTGTACGGAAAACAAAACCCAAACAAAACAAACACAACACGCTCGCTTCCTCTTCCTCCTTAATCGGATCAAGTCCTCGCGAGAACCTAATCCACTCCGAGTTCTCGTTGTTTATTTGGCAATGAACGTTTTAGTTAGTGCGCGTCACTCTCGCGAGACACCGAGGAACTATTTTGATGCGTTAGGAGCTCGGGAATTCTTAAAATTATACGTTTCGTGCTGAGCTAAGATGAATTTTGACTCAAATATGCCTCTAAACTTGCTTAGAGTGATGAAAATACAAAAGACCTAAAAATATAGCAGCATACAATTCAGAAAATATGTGTCTGTCTTTCGAGTGTGTCGGTCGTATATGCATTTTAATTGCATCATGAAGCAATGTGACGTTGAATATGAAATCTTCATGATGCGTTTTAATAATGTATTCAGAATAGAAACGTAACCAAACCACAAAGATGAACAAAGACCGAGGGCAACTCGCGTACCCTACTCTCGAGAAAGTCCTATTTCCGACTACTCCTAAATGCAACATAGGTAGCCTTGCACTGCTAGCTGCGGCTAGCTTTACCAGCAGATGTTTTGCTTCCGTGTTCCTCAAAATAACCTCACGTGAACATTTTGTCAATAACTCTTAAATATGGACAAGTTTGTGGTGCGTCTATCTAAGGGAGAGACGCCTAAAACGTCGAGGAGCACTGAGAAGATTTACAAGCAAGCCACCATAGAATCCCTACGAGTGAGTTGGTGGTGGTGGTGGTGGGGGGGTTTCCGCAATGCAACCCAAATATGAATGAGCAAGCTAATGAAATTTTTCTCCAGAGGGTGGTCGTCATTGAGGACATATTGCGCTATAAATCCTCGCTGGAGCTGCCGGGACAGAGCAGGGACAACATGCTGAATGCCTTGACCGACCTAAGCAAGAAGATGCCGTCCAAGGAGGTGCTGAAGTCCACAAAAATAGGTATAATTATGAAAACAATGCTGACTTACCAATGTAGGCACTCACAATGAAAGTCTGGGGATTTCGTGTAAAATAAAATACTTTTCCTTGTTATCTCCCATAAAAATAAACTCAACACTTTTTGAAGGCATGGAAATGGAATTGTTGTAAGGTCGGGCCTTCACATTTATCACCAGTAACTAAAAAGCCATTGGCTTGAGATCAGTGCATTGAACAATATTGCATTTCCTTGACTTCAAAAAGTCTTGAGTTGATGAAGATGCCAAGGAAGATATCATGTCATCCACTTCAGTTGTCTGCTATAATAATAAAAAAAAATCACATTCAATGCTAAGGCTGTACATTTAAATTGAGGGCCTTAAAAGTCTTGACTTATTTTCTTTTTTTCTTTTTACTTCTCCTTGTCTTCCTCAGGTCACACTGTCAACAAACTACGGAAGCACCCAGAGCCTGAGGTCAGCTCGGCGGCTGCCATGGTGTACACAGCCTGGAGGACGTTTGTGGAGGAGAATTCCAATAAGCCGTCCATTGAAGTGCGCTCGGACAAGCAGTCAGAATGCCTGAGGAGCAACGCCAGGAGACTTCTGGCCGAAGCCCTGGAGCTCAAGGTGAGGGCTGCTGTAACAACCATAGTCAGACCACATCCACCCGGGAATTTTTCCATCTTCTGAGGTGGGAGTTCACGCCGCCTGAAAAACAAATTTCCCCCATTTTTGACCCTACTGTATTCTAACTGCCTCAGTAACCTGCAGTATTCGTCATTATTTTGCAGCGGATAAAGAGTATGCCTTCACGTATTGTCATATTGCCTGTTGACATGTGTTGACCATTTTCAAATATCCGTTGCTTAAAGGGTTATAATGCTGAAACTATAAATGCTATTCATTAGCCCATCTATAGCATTTTGCATTGTGTGTTAGCATCAAGCGCTTGGAAGGCAAAGTCAAATGGTTTCACAAGGTGAAATGCTCTTTTATTTTATGTTTATTTTGACATTAAACTTAAGCCAGGAGTGACATTAAACAGATTGAAGCCTCTTTAATGAAGAATTGTTCACGATCTGCCAATTTGCTGTCTCGCAAGTAAAAACAAAAATATGCTGAATGACTGGTGGTATCGCTCCAAAAAATTGGAAGTCAGGTCACTTGTTTTTCAAGGCACCACGATTTCATTTTTTCCCCCCATGGCCTTGTTGCAAACAAAATGTCTGTGTTAAAACATTGCAGGCAGACACAGATAGGATCTTCTGTCAGCTCCAAAAGAACGAGTTTAATGGTATCTCCTCCATCGTGCCCACCAGGTGTTGCAGCTGCACTATTAATTGTGCATTTGTTTTTTTTGTATTTCCCTCCTTGACTGCTAGGAGGACTGCGGTCTAGTGGACAACACGGAGAGGGAGGTGTTCCACCAGAGCGGCCGGCTGGTCAGCGGCTCTTACCGGAGGACGGTGCGAACGCTGGTGTTCGCCTTTAGACGGCAGCCTGAGCTCAGAGCTCAGCTGAAACGGGACCACTCCTCAGTTGCCCGGCTGGTGTCCAAGTATAAGAGATAGGCGTCTTAACAATGAATCTGCTTTTTATGCACCAATGAATGTATTTTTTTTATCGTGTTAAATGCAAATAAGCAATTTGTTGTCATTGGTAATTTTTTTAAAAATCATTATTGTTAATTGCGCTTTGTTTTTATACTGTATTGAAAATTTGAATTTCAACTAAAAAAAAAAACAGATCGCAGCACAGTATGATGATTTTTACCATTACATTCACAGATAAATATGTCAAGTAAAAAAAGAGTTTCTTAATTTGATCTTTTATTTTAAAACTGTTTACTTTAAGTGAAGTCTAGAAAGACCCTCTTTAAATTTTTTAAAAATAAAAAATCAAGCAGCCCATTTCTGTCAAGTGAAATGGTGTTTTTGTTGTTAGTTTACGACTATGTAGTGTAAGTTAAAGGTACAGTTTTTGATCCATTTTTTACATTAAATTGCATGGTTATGTGTCCCTAGTAATGTGACTGATGAAGAGAGCGCTAAAGCAAAACGAGCCAGACAATGGCGATCACCATGAGGATGACGGCCAGGACACAGATGCTAATGAAGACGATATCGCTGAGGTCGTGGGGCTCGTCGATGCGCCCCTCCTCCCCCCCTGCGGCAACGGCCTCGCCCCGCATGGCCTCCCGCTCGAGCCGGCGCTCCTCGGCCGAGACGATGGACACCGAGGCCACCTTGCGCATGGCGTCGCATTGCACCTTGTACTCCTGCACGTTGCGCCGCTCGCCGTCGGAGAAGTCGATGTAGAGCTTGTTAACCAGCATGGTGACGTTGCGGTGCTTCTGGCTGGCTGTGCCGCAGTTGACGAACTGGGCGAGGATCTTGTAGGAGGTGGCCGTCAGCTGGGCGGTGCATGTGGGGTTACCGAGGTAGATGCGTTCACGGTCCAACTGGGGTAGCGAGTGTTGGGGTATTAGGATGGTGAATTCTGACCTGGTGCAGCTCACGTTCACGGGAACCACTACGGAAGGGCAAAGAACTTTGGCAGCATGACACAAAAATCGGTACGACACGTCTCACTGAAGAGCCACGCCAAACACCCCGCTTTCCTCCATTCGTTCCGCAAACATTCATGGTAGGTTGATTGAACATGTGTGCCCTGTGATCGGCTGGCAGCCACTTCCGGATGTACCCCGCCAATTGCAGCAGAAGTGTGCGCTTATGGCTTAAATCAGGGGTGTCAAACATACGGCTCGTGGGCTGGAACCGGCCCACAACGAGGTTCGATCAGGCCCCCAGGATAATTTAAACATGAAAAAAATACATAAAAGACAAGGAATGAATATTTTTAATAGGCTGCAATTCATAGATCATCTGCTAGGGGGAACACTGTGGCCCACAATGTGAAAATGAGTTTGACACCCCTGTGTATTTTTTTAGATGTAATGTATCAGTTTTAAAGTTTTTCAAAATACTTTTGAGATCATTTTAAAAGGGAAAGGAACCATATTGAGTATTCCGCCAAGAAGCAACCAATTAACCTTACCCCCGAGATAAGAAGCGGCGAATCCTCCATGCGCCTCGTCCCTGTCAGTGCTCAGCACCACCAGCATCTTATTACCCCGGGAAAGGAATGACGGCGGCCTATCTGCGCCGCACCAGCGTCCGAGCAGCGCGTCTGCCGCCTGCCCGTCACCGTCGTACACGGCCACCCAGTCGTAGTCGCACGCATCGGTCAGGCTGTTGCGACCCTCCAGATCCACGACGGGGAAGAAGAGCTTGATGCGGTAGCCGGCCGCTAGTGAGATGCTCCAGTGGCAGTTGATGTTGTTCGGATAGATCTGCGGGAAGTTGGGGCTGCTGAAGTTGCCGCACACGTCTGACAGAACCTGCTGGCATTCGCCTGGTTGGGGGAGATGTGGGACAAAGCAATAATTCTTCACACATACTTGTGACAGGATGTTCTGCCTCTCAGGGCTTGTTTTTTTTCCTATTCAGTTAGTTTCAATCAGTTTTAAGACCAGGTTTGTAATTTTGTTTTTGCCTGTTTTAGTTTTTATTAGTTTTAGTATTAGTTTTAATCGTACAGTATTTTGTTGAGTGCAAGAATAAAAATTTTCTCTATATTTTTTTATCAAGCACTGTGGTTTTTACTTTATTTCGTTCGTTCATGAAAATGTTTTTCAAATTTGATTTTAGTTTTTTTTTTTTTTTTTTTAAATAATAACCTTGGGATTTGGGGAACTCTACAAGATGAGAAGCAGTACCTGAGTAGTAATAAGCCTTGAACCCCCGTCCCCCGATGTTGAAGTCGGATTTGAAGATGAGCAGTAGCTGGCTGGCGGTGGTGATGGTGGCGGGGGGCTTGTTGGCCCCGCAGTACGTGCCCAGGTGGCGGTGCGCCACGGTGGGGCCGTCGAACAGGGCCACGTAGTCAAAGTGGCATCCCTCGTTGTTTTCCATCTGGAAGTCCAGGAAGAGGAGGGTGACGGCGCTGCTGTTGGACACGTGGATGAGCCACGTGCAGTCGGCATCGTTGCTGTACTCTGCGGGGTAACCCGGGCTGGAGATGACGCCCGATAGGCCCGTTAGCACGCCTCCGCACATGTCTGCGTGAAAAGAAAAATGCGAGGACAACTCAGAGTAGATTCGCACGATAGATGACATCCAGTACGTTTGGTCATCCGTTATCTATCAAACTATCGATCTATTTATTCCAAAGAAAATTTGGGGGTTGACTTTCCCTTGAAGGAGATTGTCTCATATTCACATTTCTCCTTTTTTTACATTTTTTTTAAACCAATTTTTTTTCTTTGTGCTATGCAGTGCTGTCTTTTACTTTCTGTCTTACAATAAAATGGTTGGAAGAAAATTACACCGCAAAAGGTAAAAGTGAAATTGGAATCTTGCCCACTCTCTTGCAATCAATTTCCACATACACAAAGGTCCAACTTTCAATTTCGAAGACTGAGTTTGTTATCAAAACTTCTGCCGCTGTTGACATCAGAACGTCCCTCCAGAGAGCACTGTTGTATTGACAACTTGACGAAGCAACATGACTGTGTTATCCCGACGCAGTGACTCGTCGCGCTGACATTTTCGGTGACCCAAATATTGACTTTTGAGAGATGCATGAAAGGTTTTGAGAAAGAAAATGCATTTTGCCGAGGAACCGTGATGTTTTGCTCTATTTTGCGCTCACCGTTTTGAGAAATGTCTCTGCTGTTTTGCAAATTTCCATTCATTCATTGAAAATCGTTGACATACCTTTCCTGTAGCTCAAGCTGAAGCCCCTGTGCGCCACATGACGGTCCGAGCGGAAGATGACCGACATGACGTTCCAGGACGAGGTGAAAGCCGGCGGGGCGGCGTCGCCACAGAAAGTACCCAGCAGGTTGCCCTCGTCGCCGGCCACGCCGTTATAGATCTTGACGTGGTCGTAGGCGCAGCTGGCGTGGTACTCCAGCTCAAAGTGGTGGAACGTGAGCAGCACCGAGGAACCTTCCGGCACCACGATGAGCCAGGAGCAGTGGATGTTGTACGGGTAGAGGCCTGGGAAGTTTGGACTGGAAATGTTGCCGGAGGGGGCCGAGAGGATGCCGCCACATTTTACACCTGAAAGGATCAAATGAACCCTTTCAGAGACAGCGGTGACTACGGTGGACAGCTTATCATGTTATCAGGTTACAGGGTGCATGACAGGGTTAAACTGGAGTATATTTGCTTTAATTTGGGCCTCTAATTAATCTTACATGTTTGTTTGGGCAGCCCGGTGCCTGCGTGGGTTTTCCCCGGGTACCCCCCATTCCTCCCACATTACCAAAACATGCATGGTAGGCTGATTGAACACTCTAAATTGTCCCTAGGTTTGAGTGTGAGTGCGGATGGTTGTTCGTCTCAGGGTGTCCCCCGCCTACTGCCCGAAGACAGCTACATCGGCTCCAGCACCTCCCGCAACCCTTGTGAGGATAAGTGGATCGGAAAATGGATGGATGGATGTTTGTTTGGTTGGCAAAAGACAAGACCCCTTTCATATAATTTTAATTAAACACAAGAACATTTCATTTCTTTATTTCTTTCAGAACCCTCACTGCATTGAACCTTTTTTCTTGCAGGCTCAGAATTCATCTTACACATCGAAATCTTAAACTGACACAGAAGCAACCTTGTAGAGCGTGCGTGCGTGCGAGCGACGACAACACGCTCACCTTTTTGATCCACCGCCTTGTCAACAAGCAGCAGGAAATAAACAAGTGGAGCCATCCAAAGCGTCATCTTCGCTGATGCGGGCTTTTTGTCCCGCATAAAGTCAGCATCGGTACAAGAAACGCGGCGGCATAATGATGACACACACCAGGAGCCCTCAGCTGTTGCTGTGTTGCGTAGCTCCTAAAAAATTAATCCCCCAACCTGAAACTCACCTGAGGCTATCGCCACTAAATTTTAATGACGGTGGGGCGCCTTGTTGGGACCGTGTACATTTTTAAACATCTCCATTGAAGAGAAAGACGACAATGCAGAACACGTGTCACCCACATGGAACATACTAGGTGAAGAGGTAAGGGACACGAAACGTCACTGCCTCATGCTTTACTCCCTAAAACAACTACAGTGCAACTCAGCCTCGCATACGCTTGTTGGCAGTATGTCAGATGATGGCGCTAAAAGAATAACGAACGCCGTGAGTGTTTGAATGGCATATTCATTATTATTTCTTGTCTACCTAAAATGATCACGTTTTAAGAGGCCTCCCCCGTGCAGCTGAGGGATGGTATGGCTGGAAAGATGAGTATTTTCACTTGAGGAGGCAGCACTTCATACACTACACGAGTGATTCCTATACCACTGTGCAGTGAAATTATTATTGATTTGTTACAAATAATGTATCTTCCATCTGTGACTCTGTAATAGCAATCACGTATGCACCACTTATCAGATGCTCATGGGAAGCGGGTGCTAATCAGCGCATTCAAACAAACTCAATGCAGGTCTGCTTACCTTTTGGGTTTGACACGATGACTGAGGTGTCACGCCTCTGGGTGATTGTGCGCGATATTGTTTCAGCTTGGGGGGTGATGTAAATTAGCCCCACGTAGAAAAGCTCACTCGCAAGCATGTTTTCATGCAGTTAAATAAAAATGTACTAGATTGTTTATTTCACACTTGAGGGCTGGGAAGCCAGTCCAAACACACAACTATTTGTATGTGCCATTAAAAAGTCAATTTTCCATTATATGTCCCCTTTCAAAACATTACCTGGAGAATTAATAAAGGTTTTATGACGGTGACAGTTTGGCTCGGGAACTCCATTTACATTATTTCCCATGGGGGAACCACTTTCCCCGCTGCTCAATTCTCACGAAATGAGTACAGACGTTCTTAAAAAAAAACACGGGCAACCTCAAAAACAAAAAGCAAGTAATACTCAATCTGCCGTGCTAGACGGCGCTGTTGCATCATGATAACAAGAAGGCAGGAGGGTTTTTTTTTTCTTTCTCCATCCATGCAGCAGCACCTCCTTACAAGTCATGCCAAGCTCTAAGCATGAAATAAATAAGAATGTGATTAAAATCAGTCAAGTGTTTTTTTTTTGTTTGTTTTTTGTATCCCCCACCCCACAGCGTCTGCGCGCGCACACTCACAAACAAGCACGTACGCACACACGCACTCACGCGGGCACACGCGCGCGCTTAAAGAAATTCCTGGAAGTGATTCTCCTGCCTTTGAATTTTAATTCCGTCCTCTATGAGAGGAAGAAAAGCTCGTCATTGTTCAAGGATTCGGATATGTGGCGGGGCAGCAGTTGAAATGTGTTGTGGAAAGATAGCGGCCAACTGTTCAGGCAAGGTGGGGTGGGGGGGTACACCCCACATATGTACAATACACACTCACAGTTCACAAAATTAGATACACAAGCTAAACAAAAAAAAAAACAACCAAATAAAAGACTCAGTGTCTCAGAGAAGATTGGAAATACATGGTTGCAGTCATCCATCCATCCATCCATCCATCCATCCATCCATCCATCCATCCATCCATCCATCCATCCATCCATCCATCCATCCATCCATCCATCCATCCATCCATCCATCCATCCATCCATCCATCCATCCATCCATCCATCCATCCATCCATCCATCCATCCATCCATCCATCCATCCATCCATCCATCCATCCATCCATCCATCCATCCATCCATCCATACAAGTCAGAATGAAATGGTGATGCTGGCTCACTGCAGATGCGTTGGTGTCAGCCGTCAAGACTGATATTTTTATCGACCTACCTGTAGCCGGAAAAGTCATCTGAAGCCTCCGGCAACCATCTGCATTCATGCGAACACATCGTACGGATTTGGGAAGTACTTAGTCAAATTTCAGCCTGCTAACAGAGGCTATTTATCAGCTCTCTTGTTACGCTAATCAAAAGGATGGCAAATGCCAAAG